ACTTGACTCAAGTCACAGTTTAAAAAACAATTGCTCAAACTAATATGTTTGTAAAGTCTAACAACAAAATACTTAGCAATCCTAGCTGGCCTTAAACAGGAAATGTTTAGTGTGATGTGAGAATGACTGTTGTGTAATTTATACATAGTATGTAATTATAAGGTATAAACTGCTTCTTTATGGAGGGCAGCCTTGCAGCCATCAGCACCTAATGCTGACAAAGATGCTGTCAATGAACAGACATAATGCAGCTATAGATTCTACAGAACATTAATGGACACGGTTGAAAGCCCCACTGTTTCTTTGGATGGAGTACTTTGGCTTGGAAATTACTGAATGTATGAAAAAATGTGACTAAGCTGAAATTTAAAACAGAAAGAAAAGTAGTCATTTATACTGATATGAGACAGAAAAAATAAGGGAGAGGTTAAGCGTAATTTCAGCTCCTGCCCAAAGATAATGTAAAATCAGTTCTTTTTTACCCCAGTTCACAATCCTATTAATATTTTATAACTAACCTGTAGTTTAAAATCTCAAAGCTGCATGAGCTTTAGTAAATAATCAAGCTCACAGCACTACATATCCTCCTTTATTCCCAACAGTACACTTCAGGCTTTTTCCACATATTCTAACCAATCTGTAGTGTTGGTTACTTCAAGGTTTAGCCTTTATTTCATGTGACCAAAGAAAATCTTAGAAAACAAGTTCTTCCTATAATTAGTCAGAGGTTGTTGCTCTGCTAAATAAAGTTATGAATGAAAGAATAGTCAGATCAGTGGAATCTAACCATCTGTTAATTACCATTTTAACAAACACTTTAAATCCCAGGGTTCATTTTAGTAAGGCCTGGAGCCATAAGTGAAAGAGTAGTTTATCTGAATCATGTGTTGAACTTTATGTCCGTAAAAGAAAGGATACGTTTTACAAGATGAACTGATCAATAGAGACTTCAGATGGCAAACAATCATCTGTACTTTGAGGCTATCAATTCTATTACAAATTTCTTAATCTATTGATTATTTTTGATTAACCAAGTAATCTTAAAAGAGACCATTTTAAAATGAAAACCTCAAAATACAATAGCTTGGAATACAGGCAAGAAAACTTTGGCAGAAAACTAATGGCATAACATGTAAAAAAAAAAAAAAACGATATACCTATGTATACATGTAAAGATATGTTGTTTTTTTTTTTTATCTTAAATGGAAAATGTTTATATTCTTAACAACCCAAAAAAGACAAATTAAAATTTTTTTTCCTTAATGCTTTAAGTAGAATATTTTGTTAGCAAATGGCATATTTTAGAGTTCATGTACGATTAATCTACGTAATTTAACTGATTTGATTTTTGGCAGCAACTAACAATTATTTTGCTAATCGATTAATCTGTTGATAATGTTTTCAATAACTCCATTAATAATGTGATAGTATTTGTACAATTTTAGTATAATTACTGCTCTACGTGGATTTTCCTGTTAGCTATAGTCACGTTTTAGAGTCTCCATACTCCAGTTACCGTTTAATCGATTACTAATTTAGTTGACAATTATTTCAACGATGGATTAATCACAATTTATCTGATTAATTGTTTCAGCCCTATTTTCAGTGCATTCTAAGCTTTAATCTTTTTAGGACTCTTCATTTTACATTGGTTTTTGTTTTCTGATGGCATTTAAACGTTTTTTCCTCGGACCAACACAGCTTTTCAACTGATTTTCTGTGTTGTAAGTGTAGCCATCTAAGGGCCCTATTGTGCAAATCCTGCCTAAAAATAACTAACAAAGGGGAAATAAATGTTTATTTATAATGATCAAGTACTGGAATCAAAATAAGTTAAAAAAATTTAAACAATAAAAACAAAAACAAAAAAAAACTAAGAAAGTGTTATTATATATTACAGCTTTAATGATAACCACAAGGTCTGGCTAGTTAAAAAACAAGCCCAAATTAGGTGGATGAAAACAGGTTGATGAAAACAACAAGAATGTTGCGCCTATCACAGTTCAATGAGGAACTACTTTAAATTTTCCTGCAGGGAAAATAATTTAATACCACGATAGACAACAATGAACAGTTCCCATATCAGATGATATGAATTAACCCATACAAAACAACAAAAAAACAACTGATAAGACAAATTTGCGAGATTCTGAGATCAAGACAACGATTAGTGTGTCAAAAGAGGTTTTCCCTTTTTATTGAATGCAAAATTATTTCAGAAAGAAAGTGGCATTAACTTATTGATTGATTCATTCTTCTAACTGAAGAAAATTCAGAATTCATCATACAGTGTTTGCAATGCCCAGTCGTTTCATGATTATATCTCTTTTCTTCCTAATTATGCCTTTTCTTTGTTATTTTGGGTTACATCTTCTCACAAGCAACAATCTTAACTGAGACAAAAATAACTGGCAACTGCATCCTGTAAAAACGTGCAAATAAGTTAGCACATTAGCACAAGAAATGTAACTGATTTAGAAACCGAAATAAAGAGACCTAGAAACTTCTTGAAAGTTTTCAGGAAGTGACTTAAAGATGGTTTTTCAACACCCTTGATATGATTTAAATGACAATGGCCCCCACATCATATGATCACTGGAAACTATCTAGAAACTATCTAGAAATAAGTAAACATGTCTTAAATTAACACTAGAAAGCCCAGAGATAGGAGAATTTTGGTCAGCCCCTTAGTCCCCCAACGGTACTTCACAACTCATAAATCTCGTTTCAGACGTAAATGCACCCGAAAGATGAGCTGCAATGACTCTGATACTGTAGCACACTACAGATATATGCCTGAAAGTGTGCATGCGCAGAAAAAAATAGCTAACGGGTCAAGCATGTAGGACTGCCTTAAAGTCGTAGGGAAGTCATATTAAAATGTCGTTGGATAACCATTCCAACCCCTTCAGTTTCGGTTTTAGCTCAAGTCTCTCTCTTGACAAGTGTTTTACCTGAGAGCAGGGGGGAAAAAATCATGTTTGTAATTAAATATAACTAGATCTACATCATCAGTGTCGCCAACACCGGAATGATTTCAGACAGTGGAGCCACCAGTGCAGCGAGCAGACGATAACTGATCTGTACAAATAGCTGCATGAGCTGGAACGCTGTAGAAAGCAAGAATATTTATATAATAATGACCACCATCAGCACGATTTTCTAGGGGGCAAATATAACTCAAGTCACTACAGCGCGATGCTGTAGCAGAGGAGAGACAGCAACATGGGATGCAGTAAAGTTGGCAATATATTCACGGGTTCGGCTTTTCCGGATTAATAACTCGTCAGCGGATGATTTATTCTACAAAACAGGTACCTCTCCGCAATCACAGCAAGGTAGACAGTGAGCTACAACAGTAGTTTTCACAAAACGAGTCCTTTGCAAATGCACAGGGACCGTCTGCAAGTTGCTAAATATTTAGGGAGAAATATTCAAAAGTGTCACCAAGGAGAGGTGGATTATTATCAAAATCATTTCATGTGCAATGACTACACTATTGATCATTGTAGTGCCTCCAAACTTGTAGGATACATAGATAACCTCATCTGGATCATAATACAACTCTGACTTTGGAAAGATAGGGCAAACTATTTGTTTAGATATTTTTTTTCTTTGTTATTATAAGTATATAATAGCCAATAATTACACTATAGATCATTGTAGTGCAACCAAACTTGTAGGATACATAGATAACCTCATCTAGTTCAGAATACAGCTCTTACTTTGGGAAAATGTGCTAAACTCTATATTTTGAGATTTTTCCTTTGTTATTTTAAGCATATAATTATCAATAATGACACTATAGATCATTGTAGTACCACCAAACTTGTGTGATACATAGATAACCTCACCTGGATCCTACTACAACTCTTACTTTGGGAAGATAGGCCAAACTGTATTTTTGGAGATTTTTTTTTTTTGTTATTATAAGCATATAATAGCCAATAATTACCCTTTAGATCATTATAGTGTAAAGAAAGTGTAATGAAACTCATGTAAGTGTATTTAACCTAAATTTGAGTAGGTAAATTAAATAGTTTGCCAATGGAATGAGTATTTTTACTCTTAAAACAAGATAAATAGATAATATGCACTTGAAATAAGACAATGCAATTGTTTTTTCTTAATTTAAGCTTAAATTGTCTTGTTCCATTGGCACAATGTCTCTTTTACCTCCTCAATACAAGAACAAATGCACTTATTTTAAGAAAAAAAAAAATACTTATTTTTTCCAGTGATATCAATATTTAGTGGGTAAAAATTGCTTCATCAGGTATAAAAAAACACCAACAACTTCTACACCATTAATCTTGTAACTAAAGGAAGGGGAGTAGTATAAATAATTTACTTTATTTAACAATGATAATGAACTGAAAGAGCACAGACTGACTCTGAATAGGTGTTCCAGATAAAGACAGCAGCCCTTGTTATTGTTAGAGGAAAATCCCACAAGGATCACTTACATACGATGGACTCCTTGTTCTCTCCTAATTCTACTCTACATACATTGTTTCTCTTTTATCTAACAATGTAATATAATCTACAAACAGGCATGGGGAGTTTGAACATGGTGGAAAATATGGTTTTTAAACACGTGGATACTTCTAACACCTGTTGTTTGTTCTGCTTTTGGTTTCTTGTAAGAGTTTAGCCAGAGCACAGAGGGGAGCAGCATGTTAGAACAAGCAGGATGTGATTCAGGATGGCAGAAGAACTAACCTAAAACAATCAGCCTGCGGCGGTTATAGTCGCTGCTGGTGGACGTTAGAGGGGGGGAAATGTTCCGTCCACTCCCAGAAAACAAGCAACACCACGACAATGTTCACCAAGCCAAAAGACACCCAAAATATCAAACAATAAAACGAGCTGAATCTAAAATCATAGTGGGAAAAAAAAGTTTATTTCAGCTACTCGACACCAGTCAGGAGGAGGAAGGAGACAGATACATCAAAACCATGTTCTTCTCGCCTGTTGTTAATATAAAAACCAACCCTTACCTTTATACTGCAGTGAGTTGGCGGTTCGTATTTTCACAGTTCCGCTAATGGACTCCCCCGGTCCGTAAACCACCTTGTTGTTAGTAAATGTAATGTCAAATTCCTGCAGCTTGCCCATGGTTCCGCTCCGCTACTCCTCCGCTCTGAGTCTGAGCAGAGCGGCTCACCCTCTCACCTGCTGCTGCTAGGAGCTGAGCGCGAGCCCACCCTCCCGCCATGGCAACCAGTGACGTCACCGCGGCAGCTAAGAAACGCTCGTTTATGGATGCTAATTATTCACAGACTTTCCCTAAAACTAAACAATTATGAAACACAATATAATTCATGTATATCAGACTACTTTCAGAGTATATTTATAGAAATATCCTTAATTCATCATATATCTACACACATGAAACTGTTTTTAACACAAAAAGGTGATCTTTAGCCTGCTAACAGCTAAAATTCTATCATAGTTTCCTCTTGGCAAAGGAAATGTCTCAGCTCTATTTATTACACATTTTACAAAAAAAAAAATGTATATATAGATATATATATATATATATATATATATATATATATATATATATATATATATATATATATATATATATATATATATATATATATATATATATATATATATATATATATATATATATATCTATATATACATAGATATATACACTATATTGCCAAAAGTATTTGCTCACCCATCCAAATTATTGGAATCAGGTGTTCCAATCACTTCCATGGCCACAGGTGTATAAATTCAAGCACCTAGGCATGCAGACTGTTTTTACAAACATTTGTGAAAGAATGGGTCGCTCTCAGGAGCTCAGTGAATTCCAGCGTGGAACTGTGATAGGATGCCACCTGTGCAACAAATCCAGTCGTGAAATTTCCTCGCTCCTAAATATTCCACAGTCAACTGTCAGCTGTATTATAAGAAAATGGAAGTGTTTGGGAACGACAGCAACTCAGCCACGAAGTGGTAGGCCACGTAAACTGACGGAGCGGGGTCAGCGGATGCTGACGCGCATAGTGCGAAGAGGTTGCCAACTTTCTGCAGAGTCAATCACTACAGACCTCCAAACTTCATGTGGCCTTCAGATTAGCTCAAGAACAGTGCGCAGAGAGCTTCATGGAATGGGTTTCCATGGTCGAGCAGCTGCATCCAAGCCATACATCACCAAGTGCAATGCAAAGCGTCGGATGCGGTGGTGTAAAGCACGCCGCCACTGGACTCTAGAGCAGTGGAGACGCGTTCTCTGGAGTGACGAATCGCGCTTCTCCATCTGGCAATCTGATGGACGGGTCTGGGTTTGGCGGTTGCCAGGAGAACGGTACTTGTCTGACTGCATTGTGCCAAGTGTAAAGTTTGGTGGAGGGGGGATTATGGTGTGGGGTTGTTTTTCAGGAGCTGGGCTTGGCCCCTTAGTTCCAGTGAAAGGAACTCTGAATGCTTCAGCATACCAAGACATTTTGGACAATTCCATGCTCCCAACTTTGTGGGAACAGTTTGGAGCTGGCCCCTTCCTCTTCCAACATGACTGTGCACCAGTGCACAAAGCAAGGTCCATAAAGACATGGATGACAGAGTCTGGTGTGGATGAACTTGACTGGCCTGCACAGAGTCCTGACCTCAACCCGATAGAACACCTTTGGGATGAATTAGAGCGGAGACTGAGAGCCAGGCCTTCTCGTCCAACATCAGTGTGCGACCTCACAAATGCGCTTCTGGAAGAATGGTCAAAAATTCCCATAAACACACTCCTAAACCTTGTGGACAGCCTTCCCAGAAGAGTTGAAGCTGTTCTAGCTGCAAAGGGTGGACCGACGTCATATTGAACCCTATGGATTAGGAACGGGATGTCACTTAAGCTCATATGTGAGTCAAGGCAGGTGAGCAAATACTTTTGGCAATATAGTGTATATATATATATATACATAGATAGATAGATATAAATATATATATATACATATATGTTTTTTTCATGAAAAAAAAAGTATAATAAATAGAGCTGACATTTCCTTGTGTCAGCTCAGTGAATCAGTGGACAGCACTGCTGCCTTGCAGCAAGAAGGTTCTGAGTTTGATTCCTGGCCTCGGAGTCTTTCTGCATGGAGTTTGCATGTTCTCCCTGAGCATGCATGGGTTCTCTCTGGGTACTCTGGCTTCCTCCCAAAGTCCAAAAACATGACTGTTAGGTTAACATTCTGGACATATTGCCTTACTAGAGCACTATATGAACATATATTATGTCTGGGACTGATTTGCTTTTGCAGAGCCTAAACAATTGATTTTCATGAACCATGAATTCAACTCTCCAGCAGAAGATCCTAAAAGAGGATGCTCAGAAAACCCTTTTTTTAAATTAACATTAGGTGGACATGAGTTAAACAACAGGACGTGAACTTAAATACAAGTTAAGCTAATAATGGCTTACCAAAATAAAGGTTTTCGAGTACTGACCTATAATTTGTGAACACATCAAATTTCTGTAAGTAAGTTATGTCCCTGAGTTTTTCTTTACTTTTTGTAAGCTCTCAATAGGTATTAACTTCAATTTTGTCCAGTGAAACATAGTACCCCTCAACACTACACCCTTTCCCTCATTAATTAAGAATTTTTACAGTTAAACAATACAATTGCATCTAAAAAGCCTAATTTTCTGTTAAATTGAATTCTTAATGTTCAGGAGGCTTATCAGTTAAACTGTTGTTGTGCATCACCAACAAAGAAATATTTGTATCAGCCTTATATTTCATTTAAATAAACATGCAGTAAAAATACACTTGCATATAGGTAGATATAAGAGAGCTTTCTACACGTGCTGCTTTTTTGTCACATCTTCATTTCTCATCATAGTGACTGAATCTGATATAATCTTATGAATCTTTTAATTATCATGTTTTTCTATATTTTCTTAGTGAAAAGATGTTCAGGAAGCAGATTGAATAACGGGTTTTGTTAATGCTGTGAGGCACAGCAGAAGTGAATAACCAGATGAGGTAAAATGTCAGGCATGCCATTCATCTCGCTGACGTGGGTCAATGCCAGATCTGTGTGAAGGAAAAATAGACGACCTTGTTCATTCATTACCTTTCTGCAAACACAAAACTACATATCCTCCATTTTATGTTTTAATGGTTCACATTCATAAATAATTTAATATTAACATATTAGGTTATATTACAGACTTTTAGGTGAATATTTCTGGGCCAGTGGTGGCAATTAGGGAAGCTGTTACATGAAAGTAACTCCAAGAACTCCATCTAGTGTACAGCTGAAGGAAGTGTGGCTGTGGCACATGTTTATCATACTGATCAGGGACTTGCAAAGATAGAGACTAGGTGGTGCTAGAGTACCCTTTAACCTCTGGACCACAAAGTGTCCTCCTGAAATTGTTTTTTTGTTTTTTACTCTTTTAAGTATTTAGCCCAAAATACCATTTATGAATTTAAAAGCCTGTCAAACCCAGAGTCTAGATTTTTTAGTAATTTTTCTCCATTAGACGTGTAGCACCACCTCAATAGTGCCTTGCCCTGGTGAAGGGCCAGGCTAAATAAACGTATTTACCTCCTTCACCAACCAATTAGTTCATAGCATATCATGTTAATTGGCCTCAACCAGGCACCAAGGAACGGTTTAAAATGCAACTCTTTAATTAAATTAGAAAGAAAATGTACCCTAAAGCATCTCATAGATGTAATTGTTGTTTTGCTATAATGGTTTCTGACAGGGAATCCTTGATGACATCTATCTGACTTTTTTTATGACAACTACAGCACACAACTTACCTTTTGTCTGTTAAATAAGCGAAAATAAGATCAAACATAACGCCAAATAATCACCATTTGTAAAATTAACTTTAATAAAGTTCTATTCAATTAAAAAGGCCGCGTAGATTAAGCTGCATTTTTTATTTCTGTGTTTATATTGGACTGCAAAAAATGACCAGAAAATATTTAACATTTTCTGAAAATAATTAATTTTTCCTTAATCTGCACAGGGAAATTAGATGATCTGTCAGTGGAATCAGAGTTTTGAACCTGAAAATAAGAATATTACATAGTATGCACTTAACTGAAATCTAAATAACTCATTTTTTTCTTAAAATAAGTGCATTTTGTCTTGAATTTAGGAGGTAAGTGAGACACTGGCAGCATTGCGAGGCAAGGGCTCAAACATGTACGGCTGTAAGCCTTCTACACCAAACCAAGCTTCTGCAGCCCTGGCGTCCTCTTACTTAACATCTCGTCCCCACTTTCCGCCTCTAAATAAAAAATGGATGATGGAGGAGACTCATTCACGACCTCTGACACTAAACTCTCCTCCCCTTGCATGTTTCCGCTGTCCATAGCGTTCCTTGACAGTGTTGTTGCTAAGTGCTACTTGGTCCCAATGTAATTTCACATTGGGAACCTACTAGCACTAAGTTGCTAACTGGTTAGCAAGATGCTTCTGACAAACCGGCCACAACCAAACATGCTTGTGAACCTTCCCCCACAACAATCCCGCCCTCTTGATAATCGACCAATCACATTCACTTTATTCACTCGTGTAAAGTTTGACACCACTCAGGAGAATTCTGAAATGCAACGGTTGGAACGGCCATTTCCCTACAACTTTAAGTAAACATATCAAAAATATGATTGATAATTAGAAGGACCACTTATTTTGATGATCCACCCAGAAATAAAAGATCGTCCTCCTTACTTTAATAGTCCTACATGCAACTGCAGCAGTCCTCTAGTGACCCTTAATATTCAAGCAGGGAACCTTAAAACCCTATTAGAGACATTATGGACCAATAGTTACCTCAACGTGCCAATATATTACCATAAAAGTAACCTTCTTATCCCCTTTAATTTGATAACTGTTTCAACTTCCTCTAAAGTTTACCGTTCAAACTATCCGCCCAGATGCTAAGGTAACTTGCAGATTATGTAAATAGAGTGGACTCTTTTCCACTGTTAATTTTTTATTTTTTTACACTTGGATTAAGACTAGTTTTTTCTCTTTTTTCTTTATTTTTCATTAATAAATTTACACAGCCTGTGTGTATTCTGCCGTCACACCCAAACTTCCCCAATGTGGGACAATAAAATGTTGCAGACAGTTTTATTATATGTTGATCATTGGAAAGCTTTTTAACATCAAGCATTTTAACCTCTCTTCGAAAAACTAAGTACAACTCATAATGCAATGTAAGCAAACTCTTTTTCTGTTTGAAGTTCATATTAAAAAAAGTTATCCCTTTATTGTGGAGGGATTTTGTTATGGTTTTCTTTAAAAACCCTTAGCTTCAAACTGTTATGGTTAGTCACTACTTTCTTTAGGTCAGTATAACCTGCAACATTCAAGTCGAATTGAGTTTTGGACTTGGAGTGAATTACAGCAACGTCTAAATGCTTTTCTTTTTTGCAGGACAACTTTGAATTGTGGGCTGATGAGCTTTTGGCTGTCTGGAAAAAGTCTTTCATTGCTACCTTTGCTTGTTAAATGAGCTGTTTCATTAATTAAACTGATAGCTCCAGAGTGGCTAAATGCTGTTGCGCAATATTGACAGCAAACATGCATTTTGAACAGCAATCCTTAAATCATATAAAGGCAGTAATGGTATACTGCAAAAAAATCAAAATCTAGATAAGTCATTTTTTCTTAAAATTAGTGCATTTGTTCTTGAATTGAGGAGATAAAAGAGACATCTTGCCAATGGAACAAGACAATTTAGATTTAAAATAAGAAAACACAATTGCATTGTCTTATTTCAAGTGAATATTATCTAATTATCTTATTTTAAGAGTAAAAATACTGATTCCATTGGCAAACTATCTCATTTACCTACTCAAATCAAGGGTAAATAAACTTAATTTAAGAAATTTGTACCTATTTCTAGATACTTTTTCCAGTGTATCTCTAGTTTTATTCATGGAGGTACCACTAACACGAAAGAGTCTTGACTCAGCACCACTTTCATCCAGCCATTTGGATTCTTCGTTGTGTACATTTCAAGTTTTACCTTCGAAGTTATTGATATTCAACAAAATATCAATCCATATCTTTAATTTACTTTTAACAGTGAAACTGTTTAACATACAGCAAAAGCACTTCTCATTTTATACAAATACAAGAACAAACAACAATAAAAAACATCTAATTCAAGCTTTTTCCAAATAGTTAATGTCTGAGCACAAGGATAAACACACCACCGATGCTGCCAGTTCAGTGATCCACAGTAAACTATCAGACGGATCTGATCATGTTGTAGTGATGCTACAGAATTTTAACAAACACGGCAGCTTATAGGCATGGACAGATTGTGAGACAGCAGAATGAAAAACACGTTGAAAACACATTGAACTGAGGACACCTTAAACGAATGATGATTGAAGCTGGTTTTGTTGGATTTTACTTTTCTACCACTTTTAGTGTAGTTGTGTCTCTGTTTTACTAATAAATTATGTAAGACGGTTTGTTGCTCGATGTGTGTGAGTTTTGATACACTCTATTTGAACTTGTTTTGCATCTCCTTTAGTTATTTGCATGCATTCATGTCTCCCGGATGCCCTTTTCTGTTACTGGTCTGTAGAAAAACTCACAACTCTTTGATCATTTTTCTACCTTTGTTTAACTGAATTGTGTTTTTGTGCCTTTTGTGTCACCATTAAGTTTTGACAGCGGTACATTTAAATTAAGGTTCTATCCTTTCTTTTGCTGTGAGGAAATGATCACTGCTTGGACTAAATCTGCCTGTGTTTGTATTGTGTTTGTGCCTCATTACTTTTTTCTGTTTTTGGTTTGGTTCCATCTGTTTGTTAATCATTTCAAGATTTTCTCAAATTACAACCAAGGACTTGAACTTAACTGAGCTTTTATATGATAGATCAACACCAAGCAGGACCCAAATGAAGTGAAGAAATAATCAGTTCTTGGCAAATAAATATCTGTAAAGTTTGACCTGCATTTGTGTTTTGCCCATTTTCCTAAATTCTGCTTTAAAAATGTCATCTCTGTGTGTGTGATGGAGCTTTTCTTTCTCAGAGATCTCAGAGGTTTGATGGAGAGCACAGCAGAGCTCCTAGCAGCTGCATAGATCCTAGACTCAGATAGGAGAATCTGTCAACAAGAAAACTATTAGTGGGCGAAATGTGTGGCATGAGATACATTTTCAAAGTCAATCTGAAAAGTTCTCTAATTTGTTGTTTCCCACAAATTAATTAGGTGACATTTTGCAAATGAATAGAATAAAGTAACTTTGCTAGATTAGCAGAAAAATGTTGCTTTACTATCTATTTACCAACTATTTGGGGTCTAAACACAAATGCATGTCCCACTTGTACAGAGATTTTTTTATCTTATATTATTTAAATAGTGTAATGATTTCTTTCAACTAACATTTTGCACCAATTTGCATAAATCTGTCCCATAAAACCAGGAAATGTGTTGCTGTAGGAGGAGAAAATGTGAAAAAGATCAAAAGGAAAGACAAGTGCAAGGCTTTGTATCTGGTACTTGTTTCATAGTAGTAGTTATCTTGTGTAAAAACAATCTCCTTATAGAATCTGCTGGGGGATATGCCTGTGCATTTATTTAATTCTTTCTACTTGCTCTCCTTTTCCTCCATTGGATCAAGGAGGCAGGTTTGGGCGAGAGCCATTGTCACTGCGTAGGGGTCACAGTTTGCTGCAGGGCGGCGGTCCTCGAAGTAGCCCTTCCGGTCCTGGCCCACCTGTCGGGGGATGCGGATGCTGGCTCCTCGGTTGGCGACGCCAGCAGAGAAGTCCTCGATGCTTGAGGTTTCATTCAGACCCGTGAGGCGCCTCATGTTGTCATTGCCTCCGTGTGGGTCGTACACCTGGAGGTGCTCTCTGTGCTTTTTGCTAAGCCTTTCTATGGCCTGCTCGATGTACCTGTCAGAAGAGAGAAAAAATGTTTGACTCATTATTTAAATGTCAGAATTTAAGATGAAGAACATAGAAGTAGATGATCTTCTATCAGTCTTCAAAAGCACATGTCCCCTCTGTTCGTTTAGCTCCCCTGGCTACCATCAGCCGCCCACATCACATTCAAATAACTGATGTTAACCTACGCATTGGTTAATTGGACTCCCATCTACTTAAATGCTCTCATGAAGGCTTATGTCACGGCTCACTCACTCTGGTCATCAAGGGATTGCCTGCACCATGCTAAAGAGATTCCAGAAACATCTTCGTCGTTCTGCTCTTCCCTTCCACCTGTGCTCCATTTCTACACCTTCACCTCTGACCAAACCAAAGTAGTCTTCCCTCTGAGTAGCTTTTTGTTATCTTTATTACTAATGGTATTCTTTTTGTTTGGAAATCGCTTTGGATTGAAGCTTTTGCCAAAACCATACACACAAACAGTTTGAGGGTTTTACACAAAATATTTTGAATTATCTATTTTTTTTTATCAGGCTCTAAATTATTTTAAACTATTTTCAGATATGTTATTTTCATTGTTAAAAAAAAAAGCAAAGCTGGAGAAATATGTGCTTTTAAACTATTAAGCATATTTGGAGGAAATCAAACACAACATATCAGCAGAACCCCTAATATAGCTTCATTGGCCAAGTACGGGTGTTTGTGCCTGTCTCAGAGCCACAGGAAATGCACAACCTGCAATTATTGAAACAACCAAAAATATACCAACAGTTTCTAGAGTCAAACACCAGCCACATCCTGTCATCAAGCAGTATTTTTTTTTTTTTTAGGTGTAAAGCAGATTGTTATAAGAATGAAAGGATCAAGGTGTTACAAGGTGGCTCAGTTAAAGTACAGTCCTCAGTTTATACTTTCCTTAAAATTATAAATACACTTCTAAATCAATTGTTCAATTGTTTCTTAGTCAATGTGATTTCTCTTTGAATTTTCATCCTTGCCCAGGATTACTAAGAACCTTTGGCTGGACTTTAAAAAGCAAAGTAGAACCAGATGGTCTTAAATTTTCCTCATGTACTCTCTAAAGCCCAGTGGAATCCATGGTGGTTTCCATGGTGATGAGCTAAAAAGGTCCTTCTGTAGCAAACTATCCTAGAACCATGACCCTTCTGCCCCCAGGCTTCACAGTCTTTTCGGTATGCTGTATTTAATTAATGACAATTTGTCCTTTGCTCTGTAATCCAAGTAATCTGATTTAAGACACATATGTCTGAACCATATTCAGAAGATCTTGTCTTTTTTATTTTTTCTCCTCCAAACTACTTTGGCCTTTATATATTCTTAGAGAGCAAGGAACACCTCCCAGGAAAGGTAAACCACCGCATTTGCATTGTTATTACAAGAGATAGTCTGTTGCTGATCTCTTAAATACATCTAAAGGTTTTTGGTAGTATCTTGTAGTATCTTGCAATCTGCTCTCAAGGTAAATTCGCTTGGACAACCAGATCCAGGCAAATTGGCTCTTGTTTTGAATGTTCTCCACTTTATTACTCTAATGTACAAATCAATTTCTTTGTTTTTAATAATTAAGGGACTTCTTTGGTCAAATCTGTTCCCTGAAGGCATCATATAGCTCTCTGGATATTGTCTTAATACTCCTGCCGGTTTTATTGGTCATACTAGAAAAACGATCTAGAAATAAGTAAAAAATTCCTAAATTAAGTGCATTTCCCCTTAATTTGAGTAGGTAAATGAGATAGTTTGCCAACGGAATTAGTAGTTTTACTCTGATAATTAAGATAATTAGATAATATGCACTTGAAATTAAACAATGCTATTCTGTTTTCTTATTCTAAGTGTAAATTGCCTTGTTCCATTGGCAAGATGTCTCTTTTACTGCCTTAATCAAATGCACTTATTTTAAGAAAAAAATAACTCGTCTAGATTTTGATTTTTTCCAGTGCAAAAACAAAAATATTTACTATGTTATGTCTTTGAAAGCCTCAGAATTAGATATTTAATTTAATCATGACAGATGTTGAAGAATCATAAGAAATATTCATAAATATTTACTCACTTCAGTCCTTCATCTTCCCTCATCTGCTTGGTGCTGATGTTTGTGTGGCAGCCGGCACCATTCCAGTTGCCTTTTATCGGTTTGGGGTCCAGCGTTGCAACCACCCCGAAATCTTCACACACACGATGCAGAAGGAAACGAGCCATCCACAGATGGTCTCCCATCTCAATGCCTTCGCAGGGGCCTACCTGGAACTCCCACTGAAGAAAGGAAGAGGCTGTTATCAGAGGAGAAGCTCAATGGTTCCGTTTAATTGCTTTCATAGCTGAGGATTACCTGGGAGGGCATAACTTCAGCGTTGGTACCATAGATATTAACCCCCGCGTAGAGGCAGGCTTTGTAGTGACACTCCACAATGTCCCGTCCATATGCATGGTTTGCTCCCACTCCACAGTAATATGGGCCTTAAAGTGGAAGGAAAAAAGCTAAAGTTTAGAAAGCATCATTGGCTCTAAAAGGGAGAAAACTTGATTTATTTTTCTTGTTGTAACAATTGGTTCCATCTCATCGGTAAGCCTGTTTGTTTCCCTTTAAATGTTGCCTCATTTGCAAGGAAAATACTTTTGTGGAGATGCAAAACCGCCAAAATCCTCTCTGCTAAAGCCAAACAGTGATATCTGCTGGTGAGTCACTGTTGTTTACTGGCTTTGATGATTGCAGTTTAAGGACACAACACACAGTGGGTCTAAGTGGTGCATGGATTAAACTCTTAACCCATTAATGAATTCCCAAGTGTTGTGCCTGTGCCACTATTTAGGAAGAGATAAACTTGTCCTCAGCCAGTATAAGTCTAATTGAAGGGAGGCATCGATATGATAAAGGAATATGTTAATCAACTCAACAAAAATAAGCTTAATTTTCTTTTTTGAGTTCATGCAAATTATTTGAAAATGTTTTTTTTAACTCTTTAGAGTTGATAAAACATTATGGTTCACTACATAATATCTGCTATGGGATGTTATAGTGTATTTGATTTGATGGTTTTATCTCAGAAAGATTTTAAGAGTTTATAACTGATGATAATTGTTTTAAAAACAAACAACACTCTGATCAAAGTATTTATGCCGTTTTGAGTTAAATTATTATCAAAACTAACTTTTATTTTGATTTTATTCTGATGTGTATATAAAAAATCAATTCAGAGCAAAGGGAATTCCTTGTTTGTGTGCAAAAACTTGATGGATGAAGCAGGTTTTGGTGTCAGATTGAATCTCCTCCTGTTGCAGTTTGCTCCTACTAATCAGAAAAGTGTCAACATAAGAGCTTTTAGGATTGGGGTTTTATTTGTTGTGCATTGATTGTGTTTTATGACTCAACATTTGCTGGTTTCTCATTTACAGTGATTCCAGAAGATATTCTCTTACTGCTGTTGTTCAGTCAGCCATAAATACACTCCCTCTGCAGTCCCTCTTTGCTGGTTCCTCGTCTTATTTCATCCTACCCTGGCTCCTCATGACTTTTTCCTCTGATGTCTCCATGGTCCTGGTTAGTGTTCAATTCTTATGTTGTTGTTTTTTCATTTCTCTTTTGATTTACATTTTTAAGTTGGATTTTTGGATTCCTGTTTTTGCTGCCTGATTTTTCATTAAACCTTCCAAGATCTCACCCCTGCCTCTCAGCTTCTGCTTTTGGGTCCTAACAAAATCCTTAAAACCAAATTGTGACACATCTGCATTGCAAAGATATTTATGCTTCTTGAACCTTTCCATGTTTTTCTCTATTTACAACCACAAACTTTCGTATTTGAATGGGTCTGAAAAATATCGGTGATCACAACAAACACATGAGAGGTTTGTCATGTATTTCTATCCAACTGCTGTTACTCCACTGCTCCTAAATAAAATCTAGAATTATCTCTCTTCCTCAGTCTTTTAGAGGCTCTAATCCTCTTTCAATCTTCCTGTAAAAGCAACCTCCCTGTGCATGTTGAAGAAAACCATCCCCACAGCATGACGCTGCCATCACTCTATTTGACCAAACAGTGGGTAATTTATGCAGTTTTAGGTAGGCTTCAACCATATATCACATTTTGTTCGTAAGAGAGTTCAAATTTGGTCTGTTCTGTGCAGAACGCCTAAATCCACATGCCTTCTCCGCTAGATCGCCAGTTGCAAAATGGACATTTATGGCTTTCCTTCAGCTGAGGCCTTTTACATTTCACTCCATCCTTCTTCTGCCCAGGTTACACTAGGATGGTGTTTATCACTAACAGTCTACAGGGAAAAGACAGGGTACAAAATAAACCGGTATGCCAGTCTGTCACAGGGGAATGCAGAGAAACACAGCCAAGCATACATACTAAAACCTAGAGGGCAATTTAAAGACAACAATTTACCTAACAGTCATGTTTTTAGACTACATCGGGAAGAAAGACTACCAATCCATGCACAGGGAGAGCATGGAAACTGTGCAGATAGACCTTTCGTGGGAAATCAGATGCAAGCAGAAACCTTCTTGCTGCAAGAAGAAAGTCGTACAAACTACACCACTTGTAAAACCTACAATCTTCAGTAATTCTCCCACCTGAGCTCTGAATCTCTGCAGAGCTTCTAAAGTTACCACGTTCCTTGTCTGACTAAAGGTCTCGTTTTAAGGTGAAAGTCTCATAAAGTATTTTATTTAGGTTATCAGATCAAAGGGGAGCCACTTTCTTTTTAGATTTTTTTTTCTTTTATCCATAAACCTGATGTTTCCCAATCCTGTCCTTTACATGATATATTACAGGGCTCTGCAACCTGTGGCTCCAGAGCCTGTCTATGGCTAAAGTCGTCAGTCGCTAAAGAGCAGATGTTAATAAAAAAGATCAAAATGCTTTTTCTAAAAACATCAACATGACAGAAACACATATTTGAAGATGTGGTGTAATATTTCTAAACTGAAAACTTTTTGGCCTCAAACTGTTTAATATTTCCCAAAAATCATAGATTGGTAATTGGTAATTAAGAGGTATTGAAAACTGAACTAGAATTAACTTTATTTTACAGTTAAAAGAGACACATTTTATCTGACAGATGCGTATTATTTCCAGGGTAACTGGAAAATTCACCTTGAGGCCCGGGGAATCCATTCGGAGGCCAGCTAAATGGATGCCCATCTATTCCCAGGAGTGTGTACTCCTGCTCCATGCCGAACCACATGCAATCCTCCTTAATCTGCTCCATCACTTTGTTGCAGGTGTGCCTGTGGTTGGTTTCTGGAAGAGCAGGAAGAAAATGAACCACAGATTGTTTCTCCTGATTACAGCAGAGGGGAAAACAAAGTGAAATGAGACAAACGTACCAGCAGGTAGGCGGTTATATTTAAGGACCTCACAGAGGACGAGTTTGTTGGGGTCCAGGGTGAAAGGATCCCTGAACATGCAGACTGGAATGAGGTACATGTCACTGTTGGAGCCTTCAGCCTGGTAGGTGCTCGATCCATCGAAGTTCCACTCAGGAATATCTGATGATATACAAAAGAAAGGGCTGTCAGGTCAAAGCAGAACCTGAATCGTAGCATTCTTAACATGAGACGTTTAGGCAGATGATGTCAGCATAAAAAATAAATGGTGCACACTTTCAGATCAGTGCATAAGATTAGAGAGGGAACGTCACAGAGAAAAACACTCACCTATTTACTGTCAAGGAAATAATAACCTGCTTTAGTTTGGCGTCTGAACAACATGTGGGTGTGATTTTTTAACAAAATGTGAGCTACTGTATGAAAAGTGTCAGGTGTGTCTGCTAATCCACATGTATGAACTACTTAACATTCACCATGCAAACAGATCAGGTCATGTCTATTACTGATTAAATTAGACCTCTAAGTTTCCATCAAGCATATTTCTAAATTACAGCTGTAAATATTCACTCGTTTCATTTGATAACATGAGAGCTGTCTGTTTTTATGGTCCTGAAATAAGATCAATATATGTTTTAGGCTCGGGGGGGGCATTTACCATTACGCAATACTAGGCAGTTGCCTAGGGCCACAAGTTTCTGGGGGCCCCATACAACTCTGTTTAAATGTATAGTTAATACAATTATTCCTTATTTGTGCACATTAATTATGTTCTCGATAAAAATAATTTCGCTAAAATGCCATCAGAATGCTTATGCACAATATTAAGTGTGTTAAGTGTCAGCCCCCCACCCACCAAACCAAAATAATGTATGTCTATTCTATAAAAATTTCTGTGTCTGTATAATGGGTCTGTTTTATGTGTTGTCTTCTCAATTCAGAGGGCCCCCCACCTGTCTTTGCCTAGGGCTCCAAATTTCCTAAATCCACCCCTGTTTAGGCGACGCTATTTTTTTTTATTGAAATATATAAAAATGTTTATACAGGATCTTAATTTATAACAACTATTATTAATTCAATTTGAAACAATGAAAAATAATAAAGTACATTTTACAAAAAAACTCACAATAGCAAATGTTTGTAATTGATTAAGATGTTCACTTATGAATAATGTTATATCAGTTTTATTAAGTTATATAGATGACTGTGCTTTAATGATACAGAAAGACATTTGAACAATTCTTTAGCAATACCATCACAAACATACATGCATATAGATATATCTATATATAGATATCTACACTGTAAAACGATCTAGAAATAAGTTAAAATTTCCTAAATGAAGTGTATTTACCCTTAATTTGAGTAGGTAAATGAGATAGTTTGCCAATGGAATAAGTATTTTTACTCTGAAAATAAGATAATTAGATAATATGCAGTTGAAGTAAGACAATGCAATTGTGTTTTCTTATTTTTAAGTGGAAGTTGTCTCGTTCCATTGGCAAAATATCTCTTTTACCTCCTCAATAGAAGAAAAAATGCACTTATTTTAAGAAAAAAAGACTTACCTTGATTTCCATTTTTTCCAGTGTATATCTATACATATCTCAATTTTTCTCTTATGATAGTTACATGTATCATACTTTATTAAGCTTATGTAGTTATGCTAAATAGGTTATAGAATCACATAAAAAAAGAAGATCTGTTCTTTATTGAATGCTAATAAGCTTCCTTTCATTTAATTGACCTGAATAATAGGCTTTTTAAGTACAATTGTAAAAAGAGGACTTTATGTGTGTGTTTTCCGTACCTTCAATGCTTTTTGGTTCCGAGTCCAGGGTCCTTGTCTTGTTGCGGAGCCCCTCTCCGGTGCCATCCACCCAGATGTATGTAACCTGGCATTTCTCCCCCTGAGGCAGTTTCATGTACTGCTGCCGGATCGCCTTGTTGAGACGAGAGCTGCTGGATACCGATGCCATGGTGTCCTGCAATCAGGATGGTTTCATCAGGACATTATTATATTAATATCACCTTCCTTTTTACACCAGCTGTATTCAGCTTCTTTCTTGTATATTGAGCTTCATTAGTCTGATCACGCTGCTCTAATTTTCTCATTTTAAACCAAAGATATTTTGGCAGTTTTTTATGAAAATATCCATTATTATCAAACACAGAGCTATAAAGACATAAAATGAATTAAATAACAATAAATAAAGACATAAAAAGTTTACTGTGTGATTTAATAATTTTTTTGTGGAAATTCACAGAGTAACTGCTCCATCTTTGTAACTTTGTAACACAGTGCAGCCAATTTAAAGTCAGTTTTCCACTTTTAGTTTCTCATTACAACTAAATACATGTATAAAAAAAAGAAAATTGTATCTGTTTCAAAAAATTTAACCTGAAAACATAATGTGTATTTATATTCACCCATCTTTAGATGCAGTTAAGCTTCTTTTTATGGCAAATTATGAAGCTGGATTTTATTTAGAGGTTCTAAGAGAACTTTTTAGGCATATATTTTTTAGCATGAATCTCCAAACTAAAATGAATAGTTTTACAAAAAAGGGGTGCAAATAAATTAAGTGAAAAGTACAAATATTTATAGCAGAATAAAGATTTTCTTTTGGTCTAAAAAATTAGCAGGAAATATTTTCAAGTTAAAAAGAGTTTTTTTTAACATCCGAATATGAGACATATTAGAGAGAGAATGATAAATAAGTAAGCTCCAGTGGTTCTACTGAGAATCATATTTAATCTGACAGTAGATTAACCTAACTAATCCCCAGATTATACATAGATCAGGCAACTAAGTTAAGTTTGGACCAAAAAGTTTGTGTCTGATTTGAAAAAGGACACAGAAACATATTGGATGAGATTAAAGAAAGAAAAGTTTCTCTCTTCATATTTGAACAATGATGGAAAATTGTTAGGTTTTTTGGAAACAGCCATTTAAAAAGTCTTAACCTTTAACTGATTTAACTGATTACTAATTAAAAGCTTCATATAATTGCTGAGCAGTTGCTCCACTGGTATATTTTAACCAATTGTCATCAGCTTTTGAGATCTAAAGGCTTCCTTGTTACTTTGTTGGGTTCAAGTCAGGAAACGTCAATCAAATAAAACAAATGAAAAGATCCCTTTAAAAGTATAATTTCTTTGAGTTGAATAAAGTTGGGATTAACTTTAGTTTTTAAAATAAAAAGTCAACAGGTTTTCCTTTCTCTGAGTTTAAAACAAATGATTAAAGTCAGCATGATTAAAAAAGCAACTTTGTGAAAGCAAGCCAGTGACCACATGGCTGGACCTTCGTTACTAGACATTAGTGTGTCATCAGCGTACGTGATCATTCACAATAGCTACATTACATTCAAGGGAGCAATTCTTCCAAAGATATAGATTTAAACCACTTATATCTATCTGTTTCATTATGTTTATAGATTATATTAAAACTTATTTTTCTACTTAAATTCCTCTTTTCTTCTAACTATTTATCTTTGAGATACATGCTACACATATATAACAAAACTGCCCCAAAAACTCAATTTATCTGTTAATAAAAGGTTTAAACTCATGAGTAGAAATGATTAAACCAATACTAATAATGCTTTTTAGCAGGAATTTTGTTTCTATGTTACAATCATCATAAGTATTTTCACTTACTTTACAACAGGTGGCTTGACGAGTAGTTTCGACTGTGGCTGTCAGCCCAGAAAGTGATGAACCTGAACCTGTTTGTGGTATTTAAACGTCCTGCAATGTGACATTTCAAAGGTTCCCAGTCGCTGTAGGAGGAGTTATTGGCATTTCATTTGTTGTCACTACACACATATGGTTATTGCCTTCATACAAAAAGAGGAAAACAAAGTTTTCTGAAGCTAAAACTAATTAATCTGATCTCCTAAACAGAAGATAACAAAATTACCTGCAATTCTGACTACTACGATCCAAAGCAGCAACAACAGGAAATATATCGAAGCGATATCAGTCACATTAGCCTAAATAAACAGGTGAGAAACAACAGAATCCCAAAAGAGATGGAGATGAGCACCCACCTGTGCTGGATGAGACCTTTTGCTGATACTGAGTGACTGTTTGCTGAGCTGAGAGTCTCGCAGCTCACTGAACACAATTAGAGTCCAGAAGCTGCTTGTTCTGTATGTTCAGTTTCCGTCAGATTAACTGTGAAGAGAAACGAGTCGGGCAGAAATTTAACAACTCAGAAAAAGGAAAAAAAATCTAAGTGAGATTCAACACTGAAGGGATGAACAACAAGAATAAGGACAGCTGAAATAAGATGCATTTCCTTTAGGGCTTTTAATAGTTTATCTGAACCAATCATTTAAAAATTGGGATAGTTTTACAACAAAGTATATCAACGATAGAATAAATCTATCATGGATATTCTGAAAAATCATACATCCTGGCACTAATAAGTACATTTACCTGTTTAAATCTATTACCCTTGTGTTATCTTCTAAGTGAGAATGTGCAGGTTCATAAAAGTATGTAAACTACAAAGCAGGCTTTTAAACAGGTTCTGCGACAGCGCGATACACAATTAAAACTATCCTACAAACTCTTCCTAGGAAAGGGTTCCTGTTTGGCAGAAACCTGTTTTTAGATCAAGGTGCAACTTTCAAAACCAGAATAATGTAATCAACTGGTTTTCCTTACATAGAAAACTTTGAATCAATTTGACTGTATGATCTGGTGAACTGCAAAGTGCCTTGAGATGACATGTGTTGTGAATTTGCGCTATAGAAATAAACTGCATTGAATGACAATCAAGCTCAAAATAACACTGAACCAGATTTTAATTGGGTTCATGAATATTATATTTATAATTAAAACCCCATAGAGATAAAAAACCCCCAGAAATATAACCTTTTGAAATGTATTTTTGTTTTTCAACAGCACACATTTTTAAGACGAAATGAAATGGCATGAACTTCTCTGTTTTTCTGTGAACTGCTCTCTTAAGATGAGAAAAATGCACCAAGGCATAAAAAGCCAATAGAAACGTCACCTTTGCTCTGTGCTCTGGCAGATAATCACAGCTTGCTGTAACCTGTCCTCTACAGACTCACAGGGACACTACTACAGATATCTCTTTCAACATGTTAATACTAACAGTCAATAAGTCTTGAGTGTGTAGATATGAAGTTCTGACATCAATACTTTAAAAAAGAATTCAGAAGTTTAGAAGAGATCTGGTTAAGTCTTAATGGGACTGAGATAATGTTAAAAGAGCCTTAAATCTACAATGAAAACAAACACCTTGTCACCATTCAGCACAGACCCCGATGCTTTCTACCAGTGGGATGTGTTTACTGGAGCAGGACACCCAAACGCATGTTTAATGGAAAGGTTTTATTATTGTAATAGAATACAAACAAATAGAATAGAATAGAAAATCCCTTACTTGTCCCACAATGGGGAAATTCTGGTGTTTACAGCAGCAAAAAGATAATAGAAAAAAATTGTCACACAAATGTGGACATTTGAAAAATGTAAAAGAATAACATAATAATGAAGAGTTAAAAGATAGACCATAAAATACTGTACTGTAAAATACTTTAACAATACAAAATTGTTCACCTGGAGAGTAAATAACCAATATACAGCTATAGATAGTTTTACAGTAATGGATATTTGAAAATAGCAGCAACATCAGAGATGTGCAAAAAGACAGCAGCATGTTATTTAATTGACTGAGACAGAAACTGTGCAAAATCAGCATGAATGTAACAACTTGTTTAGGTTGTTGGGAACAGTGGTGGTTATAAAGCCTTAAAGGAATAGTACACCCAAAACATGATTAGCCTTCATTTTCTACTCACCCCCATGCTGAACAACACACTGGAGTACTTTTTTGATATCTCAAATGCATCTGGAGATCTGGGAGGCTTCTTGCTGTCTGCTGACATTCAAATAATGGAGGTCTATGGTGACCGAGACAGAAAGGTCCATAAAAGTCCACAAAAAACGTGTTAATATTCCTCCATACTGGTCGTCCAATGTATTCCAAGTGTCCTGAGTGGGTAGCATCCAGAATTTACTCGAAACGAAGTCATTTAGAATGTTTTTAGAGCATAAACAGTAGTGTATAGGATTTCCTGAAAGCGCGCACATGCGCGATCACGACGCTACGGAAGCCGGCAGACCAAACCAGATGAAAGTGTGCATTCAGCGTCTGCTCTGCCGATAATGCAAGCGTAGAAGAAGAAATGTGCTGTTTACCTGTGCAAAGAAAGAAATAACGAAAGAAAAATGTCTGAGGACTTCAGTGTTGAGGAAGAGCATGAGTTCTTTGCCGAGCTGAATGCGCTGGTTTGGTCTGCCGGCTTCCGTAGCGTCGTGATCGCGCATGTGCGCGCTTTCAGGAAATACTATACGCTACTGTTTATGCTCTAAAAACATTCTAAATGACTTCGTTTCGAGTAAATTCTGGATGCTACCCACTCAGGACACTTGGAATACATTGGACGAGCAGTATGGAGGAATATTGACACGTTTTTTGTGGACTTTTATGGACCTTTCTGTCTCGGTCACCATAGACCTCCATTATTTGAATGTCAGCAGACAGCAAGAAGCCTCCCAGATCTCCAGATGCATTTGAGATATCAAAAAAGTACTCCAGAGTGTTGTTCAGCATGAGGGTTGGTAGAAAATGAAGGCTAATCATGTTTTGGGTGTACTATTCCTTTAAGAAGTTAAGAAGTTTTATAGAGTGTAAATGTTCACTGTTTGAATTTCGTTCTGCTCTCTTAGCTTGTCTATTTGTTCTTAGTATTGAGCCACTGGCAAAACTAATGAAACCAAATCCACTCATTCGGGGAATAACAAATACCCAATATAAGATAAAGCTTTTTGCTGATGATATTTTAGTCTTTTTAAAATCCAGTCACTTTCACATGTGTGCTCCTAAACTATCTGGATTAAATATATTGATGTCTTTTAGACATGATTATTAGTACAGCAGAAGCAATTGTGTTTTCTGGTCAATGGCATTCTGAAATTAGCTGCTTTTAAAAGATCCTCACATGAATTTAGATACCTAGACACTTAGGCAACTACCGGTACCTTCTTTCTAAGGGATATACAGTCACATTACAGGCACCCTCACCCCTCTGAATTTTTTATGTGTACATCTTTAAATGTTATGTATTCATGCAGTAATAACATATATGACCTGAATTATCGAGTTTCTCTACACTCACTCTCTGTTCCTCTAACTCATCTCCATCATTCCACATTTTCTTCTGCAGTAACCGACCTGCTGTCTCCCAGCAATAATTTTCCCAAAAGGCCACAAACAAAAGTTGATCACCAGAAATTTTAACCATTTTGGTCATCAAGTGTTTTTTTGTTTGACCATATTAGTTGTTTATTCCCATCTTATGTCATTACTGGTCTCCTCTATAGATGATACCATCACCGCCTCATGTCTGCCTCTCTCACCAAATACTGTAGTCTTCTCCGTTAGGCTACATGGTCAAACGAGCAATATTTACTACTAGTACTGTAAATAAATAACCCCTCTTGGTAATGCAGTTTTCCGTTAAAATAACATTCCAAATTATTCGCTTGGTATTAAGTAGACCAACCAGTGGCCTTACCCTGTCTGTCATTATGCTTTCTTCTTTTTCTCTCCACCCTTAGAGATGAATAACATTTATTTTGTGTTATAAAGATGTAAAAAAAAACACTAGTCAAATTAAAAATATAAATATTTTCAAATTTTAACCTCATTGGATTCCAGTTACTGCATCTGCTCAGACTTATCAGCTACATCACAGCCGCCCAATAGTGTTATATCTGAGTAAAGTCATTTAAATCACGTCTAACTCTCAAATTCAATAATATCACTTTTTTTTAATTACTAGGAGATGGATCAGATTAAACAATCACTTTAAATGAATCACGTTAAAAATGTTTCTTTATCCCTTTTTATCTCTTTGTTGTTTACCTGTCTGTCTGGTTCTTCCTCACTAACTACCAGTCATCAAATGACATCACCATTCACATGAAAACTTCACCAGCTTATGATGATGCCGCTCAGGTGCGGATCAGATTAAACAATCACTTTAAATGAATCACGTTAAAAATGTTTCTTTATCCCTTTTTATCTCTTTGTTGTTTACCTGTCTGTCTGGTTCTTCCTCACTAACTACCAGTCATCAAATGACATCACCATTCACATGAAAACTTCACCAGCTTATGATGATGCCGCTCAGGTGCGGCACACCTCTGCTCCCGCATTCCAAAGAGGCACAGACTGAGCGTTTAAAAGGCGTAATGACTATAAATAAAAAAAAAACTGGAAGGTCTAGGATGATCTAATTTACAGCTGCACGTTTGGGAAACATATTTGGGCACCAGTGGCTTGAATTACAAATATCAAGAAAACTGAGTTGGTCTCAACTGAACAGAAATCACTTCCTGGGGTGTCATTGAGTTTTCTACTAGTGAAACCTTTCAGAAACCTAACATTCCCTTTACCAACAATTAAAACTTAGATCCTAACCCTAAAACAATGTAAATATACTAAGTAAGTATATACTGTACATACCACCAAGCACTTTTTCCTTCTTTTTGCACCTTCTTCTTTTTGACTATTGAGCTGGTGTAACAATAAAATTTCCCCACTGTATATATATATATAGTAGTATTTCATCAGTTCCAAGGTCTACCACACCAGGCAGGACCCCCGGTGCAGACTGTGCAAAGATGCCTCTGAAACAATACAGCACATAACAGCAGGGTGTAAAATGCAGGCAGAAAGTGCATACATAGAACGCCACAACCAGGTAGCTGTGATAGTGTACAGGAACATCTGCCATGAGTATGGGCTGGAAGTCCCAAGGTCAAAATGGAAGACACCTCCTAAGGTAGTTGAGAATGACCGAGCTAAGATCCTATGGGACTTCAAGATCCAGACTGACAAACAGGTGATGGCTAACCAACCAGGCATCGTGTTGATAGACGAACAGCAGAAGAAGGCAGTAGTGATAGATGTGGCAATCCCAAGCGACGGCAACATCAAGAAGAAAGAACACGACTAGCTTGAGAAATACCAAGGGCTGAAAGAGGAGCTAGAAAAGATGTGGAAAGTAAGAGCATCAGTGGTGCCAGTGGTAATTGGAGCACTGGGGGCTGTAACCCCCAAACTGGGAGAGTGGCTACAGCAGATTCCAGGTAAAACATCAGAGGTCTCTGTCCAGAAGAGCGCAGTCCTAGGAACAGCTAAGATACTGCGCAGAACCCTCAAACTCCCAGGCCTCTGGTAGAGGACCCGAGCTTGAGGATGACACATACCACCCCACGAGGGGTGAGAAAACAGTTTTTTTTAATATATATATATATATATATATATATATATATATATATATATATATATATATATATATATTGGTCACACTGGCAAAGATAATAGGGGAAAAGATTAGATTTCTTAAATTAATAATTCTGTACAAGCAGCCAAGCAGGGTGGTGGCAGTATCATGCTAATTCCACGAATTTCTTAAAATTTGACTCAGCTTAACAGCTTAATTGGGGCAACTTTTGCCAAATTGTTAAAATCTGAGCACATGTGGGAATTGCAGCCGGACATTAATCCAAATAAACATTAAAAAAAGTTAATGTTATTGAATTTTAATGACTATCTTTGGATTAATAATAATAAAAGGTTATTAATCTCACACTGAAGAAATGTATCTCTGCATTTAACCCATCCCCTTGGAGAGCAGTGGGCTGCCAGTGTGAAGCACCCAGGGAGCAGTGTGGGGTTAAGTGTTTCGCTCAGGAACCTAGAGTGAAGGCTGTAGGGATCGAACCGATTACTTGCAACCTTCTCAGACCACAAGCGCACTGCTGTAACCACTAGGCCAACACCTCACCCAACAACACCAAAAAGTTGAATATGTGCCACGACATGATCAGAAGAAAACAAGGTGTTCTAATCCTAGCAGGAACCCAAGCCAGAACGAGCTGATTAATGGCTCCAAAATGCAGCGAAAGTGAAACTAAAGGAGAGACAATAAAACAAATATTTGTGGAGATGTTATTAAGACTGTGTGAGCCTCGGAAAATATGTGTTCATTGTTCTCAAACCACCTGAAAGAAATCAAAAAGGAGTTTCTGACTCTACGTGACTTACCAAGGGTTGGGTAACTTGGAGTCAAATTATTGCTTAGCACAGAATGCACCTTGGTCTTTTTTTCACTCAAGAGGAAAAACTATTGAAATAAAATGAGAGAAAATCAAACTTAGTTCCTTCATTAGAAATAAAGATTATCCACCTTGTGTCCTTGTTACAGTTTTCTGACGATTCGTCCGGTTTTTCTCAGGTCCCTCCCTCCTCGGCTAGCACCTTCTGACAGACGGTTTGTCCTCAAAAATCCCTGACCCAACCTGGAGCTGTGGAAGAGACAAACAGGGAACCAAACGATCTTAAAACACTCATTGACCTCATATCTTCAAATCTCCAAACATTTAGCTGTCTGTTTTCTTCTAGGGTAGACTCATGGAGAGTATACACAGTATTTGAAAAGGAACCGACAAGTATTTACAGTTAATTAGGAGCTGGATGGTCTAGTAAGGAGATGATGCAAAGTGCTTTGATCATTCTGTAAGATAATCTTAGAGGACTCTGTGCATTTTGTTAGAAGCCCGATCAAAGTTAGGGTTGACAAGAGAAAGAACAGAACTAAATACAAGGCAATCCTTAAAGAAAACTCACTTGAGGTTGCAAAACACCTGACAGGAGATCTAACTGAAAGGTTTACATAAAAACGTTAATGTTTTATAATAGCCTAATCCAAATCAGATATGAATCTAACTCATAATCTGTAGTGTGAAATAAAAACTAATGTTTATGTTTACTCTCTATCCAGTATGACCAGTAGAGGTCTGTCTAAAATAATTTTTCATTGTTTCCAGCCCACAAAATAATTCTGTTAACTTCTCTTGGGTTTTTTATGTTAAGAAACAAAAGGAATATTTTCATAAATGTTGGCCATTGGTTTAATTAGATAGACATGATCAGAAATGCTTTACACAGCAGGCATGTTGGACACCGATCAAGTCCGCTTTAAATGCGTCAAGACCCAAATCAACAAAAGAGTTATATTTGTTAACTCTTGAAGTACTATTATAGGAATAACCTGCAAATGCCAAATAACACTTCCAATGGTGATGCTGTGAAAGCATCTGGTTGCCATAGTTATTTCATATTATGGAGAATCTTAAACAACATGTATATTATGTAAAGGGGGGTGGATTTACCATTAGGCAATACTAGGCCTAGGTTGCCTAGGGCCCCACAGTCCTGGGGGCCCCATAAAACTCTGCTTACATGTATGGTCAACACAACCATTCCTTTTTTTGTGCACATTAATTATGTTTTTGATAAAAATCCTTTTGCTTAAAATTCATCAGAACGCTTATAATATTAAGTGTGTCTCCCAAAGGTCCAAACAAATGGTTGCGAAGAGCAGTGTTGCAAACTAAGAGCTTTTGTTGCAACATATTCTTATTATGAGTTCGTATGAAATCGTACGAAAAGTTATGCACACTATTTCGTACGTTTTGGACGTTTTTCCTCAAAAAACCACATCAGTGCGCATGCGCAGGCAGACAGACAAAAAAAGCAGATCCGCGGATGGACGTAAAACTGGGAAAAACAGTGTAATAATCACTTCTTCATGTCTCTAACTACGTTGCTTGCTGTTTTATATCTTAGGGTTCGGGTTAGGGTCAGGGTTAGGGCTAATTGTATTTTAAATTCTATTTTCTTGATTGGTGCGCAAGATGCGCATATACGACGAAAACAACTTCCAAAACGTACGAAATTACGGTGCATAACTTTTCGTACGATTTCATATGAACTCATAATGAGAATAGGTTGTTTGTCGCTATATTTAGCCACTTTTCAGACCCCTCTAGTGCTACTTTTATTTAAAAAAAGCATCTAACTCCAAATCTAGCAATTTTTTTTCTGCTACTGGAGACTTTGGCGACAACATATAAAAGCAGCGAACTCTGCTCTCCAGAGCGAGTACATTGGTAACCCCGCCTCCTGCTCTCCTCTATCTTGTCTGCTGTCATGATTCACGCAGCTATTATTTCATACAAATAAAAAATGGAGAACAGATAAGCAGATCATGGCTTGTCTACAGTGAAAAGAAGGACTGGGTTATTTACTTTTGCCTTTTTGGAAACACAGGAAGGAGCAATCAGCTAAATGAGCTTAGAGAAAGAAAAACATCTTTTATTCCTTTTAAGACAGCATGAAAAGTCAGCTGAGTACAAAACACAGAGAGGAAAGCAACAAGAAAATGGACAAGAGGGACAAAACCTAGAACAAATAATGGATGTCTATTCTATTAAAATTTCTGTATCTGTATAATGGGTCTGTTTTATGCGTTGTCTTCTCAATTCAGAGGGCCCCAAATTTGTTAAATCCGCCCCTGGTTATATATTTTGTGTTTTTACCTTTGCATTCAATTAATCAAAAAGATGTTTTGCTTATGATCAATCAATCAAATGTATATTTTGTTTTTTAAATGTAGTCTTATCCAAAGCAGGGCATGTATAAAAGACGCACCTCGAGCGCAGCAAAGGTCCAGATGCGGGTTTTCTGGGTCTGGCGCTCTGTCTGCGGTATTGCATCAATCCGCAGATCAGGTCGTGCGCAATCATCACGTAGAGCAGGAAGATGAGCACAGCGGGATCCATTCAACACCAAGAACCGGCGCCTGCATATGTGCTGAAAACGATCAGATTCCAGGGAGTTCGTGAAGGATCGGATGAGGATGGCGGTGACAAACAGGAGGAGGTGAACTTACCTCGGATGCGCTCCAACTTCAGGCGCTCAGCTCACAAACGTCTGGCCGCACATTTTTCAGCCATGACAACGCACTATCTTCTAAAGTCCCTCCCTCGGAGGAGTGGAGTGATGATATTTGTCTTTTTTTCCACTCTGCCCCTCCTGCATCCCTCAGAAACAACAGATGAGGGTCGCGCTGCAGCTGCGGCAACGCAGGGGGGCACACCGGAGGATGTTGCCGTAGAGACGCGACCGTTGCTAAGGGCATCATTTCGTCATCCTTTCATCATAAGGTTGATCAATCAGCAGACTTAAACCTCATAGCAGGTTTAGAAATGAGAAGAGGCTTCAAAATTCAATGTCTTGAGTGTTTTTTGGGGGGGTTTCCCCCCAGAAATGTACACAAAAACTCGAAAACAAGTTTGGTATATGGGCAACCCTGCAATGCTTGCCTCATCTCCAGTATGCCAACCTCACAACAAAAACAATCAGGATCTTTCATTTGCATCAAAAATTAAACATACAAGAGGATGAAGTTTGTGCTTAACATCTGTCCAGCAGTTTCTGCCTTTATCTTAAATGAAATACAATAAATAAGCCTAAGGACTAATGGTTCACAACTGCAAGGTTCCCCTATGTACCAAAATGGTGGAAACTACTTTTATCAGCAATCATATGTAAAAGGGTTTCATTTTTAAAACAGTAATGTGTCACTTTATTTAAGAATTGTGTTTCACAAAATTTTTCTTGGTATAATATTATGGTTGTCTGATGCTACTAGTTGCCATAGCAATCCATAACTGACAGCTAATCCAAGTTTTCTGTTTCTTGCTTCTGTCCATAAGTACTACATGTATTAGGATCAGACCTGCATTTTATTTCCATCCATCCATTTTCTAACACGCTTAGTCCCAAGTGGGGTCATGAGGGGTGCTGGTGCCTATCTCAAGCTGTCAATGGGTGAGAGGCGGGTCCACCCTGGACAGGTCGCCAGTCCATTAGCAACACAGAAACAAACTGGACAAACAACCATTCATGCACACACTAACACCTAAGGGGACTTCAGAGAAGCCAACAAACAGTCATGTTTTTGGACTGTGGAAGGAAGCCGGAGTACCCAGAGAGAACCCATGCATGTTCAGGGAGAACATGCAAACTCCATGGAGAAAGACCCTAGGAATCAAACCCAGAACCTTCTTGTTGCTAGGCAGCAACGCTACCCACTGCGTCACTGAGCAGCCCACTTTCTTTCCAATAAGTACTATATTTTAAATAATTAATTCAATGGTTGACTGCTGTTTAATATAATTATTTAAAATGTAGTACTTATAGTAAAGAAAATGCAGGTGTGATCCTAAAACATGCAGTAGTTATGGACAGAAGCAAGAAACAGAAAACTTGGATTAGCTGTCAGTTACAGATTGCTATGGCAACTACCAACCGTTAGGAATAGCATCAGACAACCATAATATTATACCAACAAAAATCAGAGGAAAACAATTCTTAAGTAAATTGACACATTGTACATAAATACTGTTTTAAAAATGAAACGCTTTTACATATGATTGCTGATGAAAATAGTTTCCACCATTTTGGTACATAGGAGAAAATTAACTGTTATCAGTTCATTCCTTATTAACTTAATCTCAGTCAGACTGAATGGACCAATAATGTAATTATTTGTTAAGAGTTGCCCCTGATTCTCTATTTTATTTTTTTGAAATAATTTTTAATGATTGCTACTGATCCTCAGGGTCCACCGATTGGCTGGCTTCCCTCCTACTGCCATCCATCCAAGTAACATTAATAATAAAAAAATTACCACAATGTTAATAACATTGTAGTTAATTGAGCTTTGCCATATTGTAATCTGAAACTGTTGTCCTCAAACCAAAGTGCAAACCATTTCACACACAAATACTGAAAAAATGGAAACTGGAAAAGTTGCAAGCCTTAACATGATGATAAAACCACTTTAAAAATCTATCTCTGTAAGTATTTTTGGCACCATTTATTTTGCTTCACTGTTAAAAGGGAAGAACGACTGACCAAAAAGCAGAAACATGTTTGTATGTAAATATCAAAATAAATAAATGAGTTAAAAAGTAAAACTGAGAATGAAAATGCTTTGAAATCTGCTTTATTTATAATCAGAGCTCATGTATAGCTGAGGTCAACATTCAAACATGTCAAACACATCTTCCATCTTTTTGTTTTCCAAAATACACTTTCACAGCTGCTGTTTCACCTTTGATTGAAAGATCATTATTTCCCGTGCGCTTTCTGCACTTCCCGTGCACTTTTCTCTCTTCTTGATTCAACCCTAAGCCAGCAGCAACACATCTTTAACATTTGCCTTATTTTTACCTGTTATAAACCTTTAATTTGAAGCCCAATAGCCAAAATGTAACTTAGATATCCTAAATTTGACTGATTGTTTGGTTATTTTCCTTTTAATCATACAGTGCCTTTTAAAAGCTTTTAGAATTAGACTAACATCCTGTTGTATTAGGTTATTGTGCAGCGTGGAAACTGTATAAAGGTTTGCACATTTGCAGACTTATTATAAGCACAGGCTTTCAAAGAGTCCAGCTGATATCTGCCTCGATTAATCTAATAAGCAAGGTGGTTGCTTTAATAAGTCTTGGAAGGATTTCCAAGAGTTTCTGGCAAGCACCAGCAGGATCACCACAGATAGATGGAACCGACTACAGCTGCAGCAGGTGAAAGTCTCGGAGGACGGTGACATGAAGACTTTTAGACAAGAAGGGCAGCAAAGACACAGTTTCTGTCAGAAAAAAGCATCAGATAGACTCAAATTTTGAAAGAAGTACATGAGGTGTGGTACATGTTGCCACCAGTGCAGAACTTGCTCCTGGCAGCGGGTGGGTATGACTTTATATACATGCTTAGAGCTAAACATTTCATGACAAAAGGAGCAGCAAAGAAGCCCTCTCTGTTTCTGAAAAGCATCAATGGTAGACTGGGATTTCTGCTGTAAGGTGTTGCAGAACAATGCAGAGCTTGGTACTGGTGGTAGTGATCTCACTGCATGCTCATATCAAAGTCCTTCAGAATATGGCCTTTTCAGAAAAAAAGAGCAACTGATTTTAAAGCGATTGGAGCTAAGGCGTTTCCTCTGATTGATCCTCCTGATTGGTTGGACATCTGGTGAAGAAAACCTGAGCTTCACCATAAATGGTGCTGACATTGAAGAACCCAGATCAGATCCACGTGTGTGAGCTTTCTCATAATCCTGCGCCAGCATTCACCTAGCAATACAGACTGATCATGGGTAGAACTCAGTTCTAGTTCTACACAATATTAATCTGGGATTGCTCTGATCGAATCTGTTCGCTGAAAGGAGGGGACGATCAGCAGAACCTTCTGAGCTGATTGGGTGAAACGATACTCAGTGCCTGCCTGCAAAATTTTGGTTTGAGCCAGTCATAGTACAAATGACATAGCAGCAGACACCACGAGGAAAAGAAAAAGTACATTTTTATGCTTTTGTTTTGAACATCTTTCGAAAAATGAAATCTGATCACACAGAAGTGAAAGCATCAGCCACATGTTCGTCCTCCTGCAATGCCATATATTTAGGTGCAGTTGTGGGCTCGACAGCTCTTGCTTTCATCACAGCTAAACGTCGCACCTTAAACCATAATACTGCTACATTCTGGCTGACCCTTTTTGGGGTCAGTCTGAAAGGGTTGAAGCGAGCACGATGGATTCTATTTTGCTCTAAACGCACAAATACAGCAAGAATTCAGCATGCAGGAAAGGTTACGACTGCACACTCCAATGGATAAAAAGTGGGATCAAAGCATTTTTCAATTTCTTCCACAGAACAGTCTGCTCATCTGTGTATTACAGTTTCTTATTGACAAGACCATTGACATTTTGGAACCAATTTGGCTAAAATCCCAAAACCTCGCCGGTGAAGAGGCAAGCTGACTAATTGCGATAAACTCTCACAGGTCAATAATGTCAAGCGTTATAAAGTCAGCATTTAATTTAGGTATTAAGAAAATCAAAATTATTAAAAAATATAAAATCAGTTGTATTTTCTTAGAGTGCAATAGTTCAGTTGTCTCCAAAACTCCAGAACTGCATGTTTCTTGCTTCAGCTCCTACTGCTGCCTTAGTGATTTACCATTAACTCCCTTTACACAACGACCAGATGTTAATCCAGACTCTTACTTTAGTAGCATTGCACCTGGTAGAGATTTTTTTTTATATATCTAAAAGCATCTTTATTTTGCCTACTACTTTACCACCTACTTAGACAGTCACTGTAATATTCATCCAGAGCACCGCGGTGTCCTCCTGTCTTCCAGCTGTCCACATGCTGAAGGTCCTGAACTCAGAGGATCCAATCAGATCTGAGGCAGCTGCATTGAAAAGCGCTGAAGGCTTGTGTTTTCTGTGTATATGTCAGTGTGTGTGTGTGTATGTGTGTGTCTTATTGAGGGTGACACAAGCAGTTCTCCTGCTGTGATATCACCTATATTTCAGAAAACCACCTTTAGGTGGCAGTGCGCCCCCCAAGTCACTCCTCCTCCCTCTGTCTGACCTCAGGGACCTGCAGAAGAAAAAAAAAAAAAAATCTGTTAAAGTGCAATCTGTGAAGTGCAACAATTGGCTCCAGGTACTTAGAGATTCACTTTCAAACAGAAAGCCCACATTCATATCTTCAGGTAACACAGAGTACATGTCAGACTTAATAATATTACTTTAGCCATAGTTTCAAGGTGTTGCTTTATTGTATATCTCGTACCATGTCTTTCGGTTGTGCTGTTCTTTTTTTTCCATCTCTTTACAGGTGATGAAGCAGACTGAAAATGTTTTGTCATTGTCTCCTTTCTATCTCTTCTTTCTTTCATCTTTTCTCTTTTTTCTTTTTTCCTTTTCTTCTTCTGTTTTTCTGCTCTATTTGCATTGCAGTGTCCATATAAACTGTAAAACTCCCTGCATAATTATAATAAAGCAATTTATATGCATGAAACAAGTGGAGCAATATGGCAATTGCCATACCGCTACACTTGTGAAAGTAAAATCTGTTGGGCTCTTTTTGGCATCAAGACAATTATTCTTATTTCCACATTGCCTGACAGGACACTGTAAAAAAAAAAAAAAAAAAAAAAAAAAGAAGTGCAACAATAAAAAAAAATAAAAAATTAATGTGTTTTAATTCTATGGGCAAAAATAGGTATGTTCAACCCCATAGATGTTAAAAAGCTTTCCTTTCAAAGCCCTTCCAATTGATTTAAAATTATTTGGTTTCCTGACCCCCAATTTCCTGCCTTTAAGCCTGGAAATTTTCCAAAGGCCTCGGATGAGGAAGTAGCGAATACCATCACAAAAATTAAATCAAATGTTGCTGCTTCATCCAGTGTCAATGTCAACTTTATTCATAAATCATTTAAACAAACCACAAATGAAAGATTCTGGCACTAATAATAGACCCCACAGCAACATGCTGTCACCACCATGCTTGACAATTCAAACATTTGTCATTTTAGTCCAACAGCTCAACTTTAAACATCTATGTATTTCTCTATCTCACCCTCTCTCTATCTCTCTATCTATCTATATTTAGATATATATCTAGATATATATTTTCAGAAAGAATTAGGCTCCACCATCACAGTCCATGTTAGAAACAGGTCTAGCCATGAACAGCAACTCTGGTCTTCCAGCAGTTCTTTTTAGTTTATTGTCGGTTTGAACTCTGGCGGTTCCAGGGTTGTTTCTAAAAACTTAAACCACTTTCTTTTCATCTAAATTTTAAGAGTTTGGGTTCAACACTGAAGCATAATAGAGGTGAAATCATTGTACAGAACCAAAATCTCTACCTGCAAACTTCACCTTTTAACCTACGGTAAATCAAAAGCTAGATAGTGGAAACAGTTGCATGATTTAGAGTTTTCACAGAACACTGTGTCACTTTCAGGATAATTTACAACTGGTTCAGGAATGGATAAAGCAGGACATTCTTCTGAATCACTGAGCCAAACCCTGCTGGAAACCAACCAACAAGGAAACATTTCTAGCATTTTGAAAACACCTTTATGTATCACCAAATGTGTCACCAAAATTCTCAAGTTCACACCATAGATCTGTCAAGATCAGCTAAACTGTTTGGGGGGTTTGGGACGAAGAGAAACATGAATAAATAGAACCGACTTCAAATTCTAGTAAGACCGTGGACCTTAAGGTGATCAAGCAAGAAAGAAGCCTTGGTTTGAAAATTGACACCTTCAAGCTTGACTAAAATGTGTTAATTTTGAGCGCAGTGTTTTAAGGAATCGATGCCAGCCTCTAAATAAGAAGGATGTTTGATGCTGTGGGTATTTCTTTACTGATCCTAAACCAGTTCTGATGGGTGTTTAGGATCTTTTTTCTGTTGGAAGAACCACATTTCAACCATTCAGACCAAAACTTTCCCCATTATGGGAAAGAAAATTGTTTAAAAAACACAAAAGAACCTGCAAAATCTTTGCCTTCCACAAACTAGAAGCTGTTTAAAAACCAGTGCTACTATGATCAGTGAATTCAGTTCACATCAGTACAGCCTGAGGCGGTTCCTTCAAGCACTAATGCAAATTGCTTCTTTTTTAACAAAGAGAAACTAAACGCCTTCAGGAGAAACATTCTATGTTTATAAAGGACAACGTTAGAGAACGTAATGACAGAAGAATGCTTAGAGGAATTCAACTTAACAATTACTCTACCTATTGTAAAGCATGGAGGGAGCAGCATCATGCTAAGGTTATGTCTTGTTGCCAGTCTAGAATGTGATTTGCATAAAGCTGAATAAATTTTTTTTTTAAAAAGGAGGTTTGTATTTTTTGTCCTACTTCAACAGCCAAATGACTCGAATGGGTTTTCCACTTTGCCCATGATCCCAAACAGGAAGTAAAAAGCTGTTTGATGGCTAGGAAATGTGTAAGAATGTGTAATATAGTTTTTACATTTAGAAAAATACTGAGCACTCAAAATGTTCTCAGAGACTTTGATTTAATTAAACAGGCTCCTCAAAGACTTTTAAACTGTCATAATTATGTATTATGTATAATTATAAAGATAAAAACGGAACATATGCAGCAGATCCAGAACTGCAGCCTTTGACATGTTTAAGGCAACCAGAGAAAGACATTAAAGGGAACATTTAAAACTTGTTTTTCAGGTTAAGCTGTTATCTCACCTACAGATGCTTTGGTTTAATTGGTTTAATTGGGAATTATTTTTAATTAGAGCAGATTGTATTTGCTGTAGAGGCAGAAAACTCTGACAACATTGCTTTCCTGTGATTCAGGAAAGCAATGTTCTTTAAAAGCACTCATGTATTTCTGAATATTTTTTGTGGCGTTTCTGTTGATATTTTGTCCCTTTTTCTGACTATTTTCGTTTCCCTCCTGAATCCTTGAAAGTTGAAAGAATGAAGTCTGGCCAAGTCCCATTAAAATACTCAAAACTAGACAATTTTTATAGCTTTTAACCCCCTTTAATGGCACAATGATAAGCAAGACTCTGGAATTTTCAGAAGAAAATGTTAAAGTCCTTTCAAATTTCAAAGCCATCATAAAACAACCATTTGACCAAAAGTCACCAACTTCCTGGTGGTGACTTTAAGGCATGACTCCATGCCTTCTTTCTTGTTTTGGAAGGTTCTACATATTTACCAAATTTCAAAGAGCTAAACCGTACCTCAGTTTAGAGGAGACTGCAGAGAGACTTAAATATCTCTAATATATTCATGTACAGATGAAAATATATTTTTTGGCATAAACTTTATGGAGTAATTTCAGATTTTCCTTTGTGAACATATTGCATTCAGCAAGCTGTTATTTATTGTTCAGTCTATATGTATTATTCAGAGGTTGGCAACCCGCGGCTCTTAAGCGCCCGCTTGCTCGAAAAAGATGGATGTTTTCGTTTGTTTGTTTTAATATGGTTTGCAGGAGGTGAAATAAAAATTTGTTGTGTTTTCCAATGCTGTCAAAAAGTGTTTAATAACTTAAATTAATAATTTAAACAATAAATGCAAACATTTCTGTGAACAAAGATTTGCTTCATAGCCTGCAAGACACATTACGGCGCGACGCGGTGCCAGGCAGATGATGTTCATTTGCTGTCTGCAAAGCTGTACCAAGCGAAATTTCGTTTGAATACACTTTGTGTGAACAAAATGACAATAAAAGTTGTCTAAGGTGGCTGTTGTAAACAAACCGGTGGGTGTGTCTCGGCCATGGATTCCAAAGGGTAAAAATGAAGATGGCTGATGAGAAGAGAGGATTCAAAGAAGAAAGGACTGAATCATTTGCTTTCATTACCAATGCGGAAAAAAGATTGTCTGCATGTTTGCTTTGGAATGAGAAGTTGTCAAATAGTAAAAAGCTTCATTTGGAAAGGGAAGGTGTGCAAAATATGCATCCGATCACCAAGGTGGGAAAAATTGCTTTTGCAGAACTTATTGATAAATTAGAGGAGAGCAAAGATTCATTAAAGAGGTGGATTGCATCTCCAACTTCCACTATTGCTGCTAGTTTTGATGCAAGCATGGAAAACCGTTCACAGATCCAACAGGTAGTTCTCTGATGCATGTATGTGAACCCCCCCTAAAAATCCTAAAAATAAAACTAACACCACAAATCTGGTTTCTTTATTGTTTTTCTATAACTTCATTAATACAATAAAACCTAATATGTCAATATTGTGATTCAATTTAAAATTAAAGCACCAAATATTGTACAGCAGAGTAGTCACATGATGTGACATTTAATAATGAATACGTATTATATATTTAAGCCGACATAGTCCTTGTTTTTATAGTGGGCTAAAACACTTAGATAGATTTGTTTTTTGTTTTTTTGATCTAATATGGCTCTTTGAGCAGATTGGGTTGCTGACCCCTTGTCTAATTAATGGACGCTGCCCTCTTGTGGTGAGAGATAAATGCAACAACTGAGCAAATAAAGTGTCTCCATGGAGATAAAACATGTTAGAGTAAAACTCACAGAGACGTTGTTGAATCCTGCAGCCATTGGATGGTTTTGTACTGGAGGAATTGTCACACGATCCTCCTAAGATCCAGTTTAAATATTAATAAGACAAGTTTTTGATAAGAAATGGTGAAACATTTAGAGAAGAAGGGATATTCGGGAGCATCTGAGGATGTTTTCACTCACGGTGGGTTCTGAATCATATCCTTCATTACTGAAGCCGGTAGGGACAGGTGAAACATGATTGGTTCGCAGGTAGAAGACGAGCAGGGCCACCAACGTGCCGATCAGCAGCAGGACCACGATCACAGAGGCTGCAATTCCACCAGTGTTGTCTGGCAGCTTTGTGGCTGAAGCACAAATAGAAATAGGCCATCTTAGGTTCTGCAGAAGATTTTACCGCCACATCGATGTAAAGGATTCATATAAAAGCTACCAACAAAAATGTTGGTATTCTGTTTATGAAAGACATTCATTTGAAAACATTATTCACACACATATTTTCACTCAGGAATGTAAATTGCAAAGATGAAGGAAAATTACTAATTTAAACCTTTTTTTTTCCCCCTGAAACCCTTAAAGACCCCTTATTAGTAAACAGTCCAGCTGTTCTTTGAAGGTCTCAGAGGTTCATTAGATGACAATAGCAGTCATGGAAACCAAAGAATGCAGCCAACAGGTCAGGGAGAAGGCTGAGGAGAATTTCAATTTGATGGATAAACTGCAGACCAACCAAGACAAGGAAGCCCTTAACTAACTTATCAAGAAAGTGTTTTTTTTTAAATATTTTAAGCCAAGATCTCAGGAGAGCAGGATTATCTGTTAACAGGACAACCACTATTCGTGCATTACATAAAAAGTATCTTAATGAGAAAAAAAAGAGCCACTGAAGTCCTGAAGCCTTGCAGGGGACACAGCAAACATGTGGAAGAAGTCGCTGTGGTTAGAGGAGATTTCTAGGGTTAAATGCAAACTGCTATCTTGGCCAAAATCTACCAGATTACATCACCTTGCTAATTACGTCCCCTTAGTAAAGCATGGGGGGGCATAGTGATGTTAAAGGGAGGTCCCTGCTAAACTTCCCATTGGAGAAAATGGGAGGATAGATGGAGCTTAAAACTGGGCAATCCTGGAAGAAGCCCTGTCAGAAACATCAAAATGCAATCATACAGCCAGAGCGACGATACAAGGCCTTAGATCAGTAACACTGGAGGTATGAGAGGAGCGCAAGGCATTTTTATAAATAATACTAGAACTCTACAATTATGCTTACTAATAAAAATCAATGTGTGGTGCTCTAATTATCCCCGATTTTACATATTTTCTTCTCTATATTCATCTGTACCTTTTGTGCTAAGATCTCTTTGCATGTCTGATATCGGGCCAATCAATGCCTTGTTATTAATGAACTCACAGTGAGCAGACAGACACAGATGGACTTCAGGATGTAGACAAAGTGAGTACTTTGCCCTTTCTACAAAAAATGCCCACAATCTGTTGTCAGAAATGATTCTCATCCATCACGTTGCTTGAATAAAATACAAACAGAGAAGCAGCCTAGATGCAGAAGATGATCTCAGATTTGGCTCTTTCTGTCTCCAACATTTCTAACTCTTAACTTTCTCCTTCTGAATGCAGACAAAACAGAAGTTATAGTCTTTGGACCAGAGTCTTTGAAAAATAAGCAGATTAGCCAGTCACTTCATTTGGATGGGATTAAACTGATTTCAGATAATAAAGTAAAAAATCTTGGTGTTGTTTTTGATCGGGACCTGTCATTTAAATCCCATATCAAAGAGGTTTCTAGAATTTCCTTCTTTCATCTGAGGAATATTACTATGTACATATTGCTGTATTATATTGTTTGATATTTTGATGGTTCTTAAGGATCGGCTTAGTTTTGAGGAGGCATTCAGAGAAAAAAGGTTAAAAACCACTTGTTTAGATCGAAGCACATTGAGCTGTTAGAGTGGCCTAGTCAAAGTCAAGCTCTGAATCCATGAGAGACCCTGGGGTACCAGCGGAAAACTGCTGTTAACAGAACGGATCCAATCTGACTGTTTGGGGCCATTTTAAATTAAATAAAATAAATCCATACATGCAAAACTGGTGGGGTCATAACCCAAAGGACGAATGAGTCTCACTGCAGCGGAGATCTTCTCTTGTTTTCAAACAAAACTCTAAGGAGACTACAGAACATCTGGATTGATACTGAGATTAATTTAAAAAACAAGAATCCTTAAGAGTTGTCCTGGATTTATTTAGGGAATCCAGAGTAAATTGGACTGAACTTGTGTTTTTGTGGTTTGTATATGCAGAACGACTTTAGTTTGAACGTGTAGTCTGCATCTGAGGGGAAAAAAACCATATAAATCCAGGTAATTTGGGGTCTTCAGTCTTACTCGGTTTTGTGACTCGGGTGGCGCAGTCAAAGCCAACGGTGTACTCGATGTCATCCAGAGCGACAAAACCGGCTGTTCCTTTGATCCCTTCAAAGACAATCTGTTAACAGGAAGCAGCTTTTTAGTCCGGGCAGACTCAGGATGAAAGTTTGAAGATTTCTAAAAAGTTCCCTGGAGCGTCTGACCTGGTACTCCTCAGCAGATGTGATGTTTACTTCAAAAAGTTTCCAAGGTCCCCCGAGTTTGGTCACTCTCAGCAGCTCATTGGTTAGACCTCCAGACAGTCTCCAGATTCTCAGCTGGCAGTCAGCTGCCGAAATTCAACATGAAGCATCAAAAACACACTCAAAAGGATATCTAAACACAATTTCTGAAATGTATGTATTTTTTCTTTATGTAAAAAAACTTCTATTAACTTTTTTATTAGATAATTTCAACACAGACCTATTAAATACATCTCACATGATGCATTTGTATAATAAATTGTATTTATTTGAAACACATAATCATCAGGTTCAGGTATTTCGTACTATTAAAGTATACTTAATCAGGAATAATGCTAATGAGTGGATTTATTTCAATACATAAAGTTTTTGTTTCATTTTTATAAAGGTAACAATGATTATTATACAATTCAAACAGTTATATTTTTGAAATAAATACACTCATTATTATTATTTTGAGTAAGTATACTGTATTAAAACTAAACCTATAAAACTGATGATTATGTATTTAAAAAAAACAAGCTTTACTATACAAATGAATATTAATAATGTAAGGTTTAATAAAAAGTTTTGTGTCAAATTTATCTAAAAAGTAAATGGGAATATTTTATTTAATGGAAATTTGGGGGAAATATTTTTGTGAGCGCCAAAGATCACGATTCTATGGTCCGTTTTTGGGGCCACCGGGCTTACATGAGTGGGGTTTGTAGGCCCAGAACCTCAGACAGGTGGCCTGAGTCGCAGGCAGGTGGGGGCTGAGAATCCAGGTGTTTTGATTTGCTGCGGTCCTGTTGCTGCTGGGAAAAAAGAGGAAATGACCTGGGAACAAAAAAAGAAAAAAAAAAGAAAAAGGAAAGACTTGATTAGAACCAGAACAGAAACTCTTAACAATCAAAGCAGCTGCAGATTTTGTCTCTGTGACGCCCACCTCTCTCTGTGCCCAGAGTGTGGTCTTCAGGCGGGACGGGATAGTGCTCTTCTGTCTCCCGACTGGTCAAATCCCAGTCCAGTTTGTCCCTTTCACTGTCTTGAATGTTGTTCCAAATGCACATCCCATTTTCCATGCTGCACATAGCACCTATGGTTTTAAAAGAAAAGCATATCTACTATAGGAACTAGTGTTGCTCTAATGCCATTTTTTGGCCCCGATACCTGCCTGTGCAGTATTGGCCGATACCGGTACCATACCGATACCATCTATTTGAAATTGATGTGTGTGTGTATATATGAAGAACTGAATACTACTTGCCATCATGGCTTTGTCAAGCTGCTGCCTACCTTTGTGAAGCAGGAAAAAGACTAATACAAAATGAATCCAGTAGAACTTTTTATTCCCTACCTGTAATCGGTGAGAATAGTTGAATAAATTTTGGCTCTCAAAATGGTATCGGTGCCCTATTTGTTGGTACTCGCCGATACCGATACCACCATATCAGTGCTGGATCGGGGCCCCGCCCGATACTGGTTTCGGTGCAGCACTAATAGAAACTGACTATTATACAGCAGCATCGCAATAAATTCACTAAAAGATGATTTTACTTTACGGTTATAAATAAAACATGACTTATTCTAGAGGGAGGGTCACTGACAAACTCTACAAACAGAGTAAGCTGCAAAAAGGCCATTTCTATAATAATCTTAGGCAGTCCAGTCCAAGTGTAATTAGTGGAAATTTGAGTGGAAAGTAAAAAGGCTGCAAAATCTGTAAACAAATAAGGGAAACCATGATGTTGAGACAATAGTGAAGCAAAGCCCACAGAAATATGAATCACAGAAAATAATGTGAATGTACCAAACAATATGCACTCAGTATTACCTTTTGCTTAAAATACTCTATTAGTTCCTTTGATAAAACAGACTTTAAAGGAAAATGATGCTTAATTTTTCTACTGGTATGCAGAGTGTAGAAAAGAAATAACCTATTTCATCCTACAGAAGCCCCTTTTTTTAAGTTTGATGTTTTGTTTGTTCTTTCGTAAGGTTATCATAGGATGGTGGATTTTATTCTGAAATTTACCGGTTATCTTTCTCGTTAGGCGCCTGAATCTTCCTGTATGGCTTGTAATTTTCATATTTTTTTAGCTTTTGGTAGCCGGACCCAACTGGACCAAGGCTAATGTATAAAGACTTGTATGAAATATTTGGGTTCCCTTTTTATTTGCGCTTTAAACTGCAAATAAGATTTGTTTTTCATGTTATAAAAAACTGAAGAAATTGAAAATGAATTAAAGGTAAAAACAAACCATAATCTTCACATGGATGAGCTAACACTGAGATGTCATCAACAGCAGCGTGGGAACTTTTGCCTCCTGACCCGGTCACCTCAAACTCCAACTGTGGAGGAATATTAACTGAATTTTAAGCCGAATATTAGGAAAAGTACTCTAACTTGTTTTGAATCCTACCTGCCAGTCCACAAGGCCGCTGGAGATGTTGCCTTGGCCATGGCGCCACTCATCTCCCTGATTCAGGTTGGCTGAGAAGATCTGTACTCTCTCCCCCTTCTCGGGTTTCATGTATACCCTAAGGTAGCCTGTAAGGAACCACTACTGAAGCTATCTGACAGAAGTGAGATAGAGTAGAACAGGCATAGAAAAGCTGCTCACCTGGATTCTCTTCTTTCATATGATACCAGAAAGTTACACATTCGGTTTTGGTTGTTCCTGAACGGACAGGAGAGACGAGGACAGCAGTGTTACCGGCTGGAAGAACATCCCTGTCGGTGTTGACCATCATGTAATAACCTGGAAATAACATAGAGAGTAGGGCGGTTTAAAACCTTTGCTTTCTGCATGATGTTCAGACTTTTTTATTCACCAAAAGGGTTTTTTTTCTGACCCAGCTCAGTTCCCAGAGTGTGGTCCAGTTTGGGTCCGCTGGCCGTACTGCTGTGCCCGTTTCGATGAAGCCACTTAACTGTGCCGTAGCTGCTGTACCCACACATCTGTCCTTCAAAGGAGCACTTTCTGGGCATGGCACACGGGCCGTCCAGGAAAGTCACATCGTCAATGGCCACCTGGCCGTCGAAACCGGATCGAACTGCCTCAAACATCAGCTGTTGGGGGATGACAGTTATTAGATAAGGTTTTCTGTGCAGCCTTGATTCTTTCCAGTCTGTTTTCATGGAAGGGTTCTTACAGGTGGAACAGATGCAGGAGGACTTACTAAGCTGGAACTATGGCATAAATTAACCTTACCCCAAATAAACATGTAATATTTCCCTGTTGACTCAACAGGCTGGAGAAGGAGAGCCAGTTTATTTCTGGCTGCATCTACATAAGCAGTTATTTTAGTTGCACCTGAAGTTATTTAATTTATACTGCAATTTCATTTTATTTGAAAAAAAAATACAAACTTGCTTTTTTTTTTTAAATAAATAAAACCTGAAGAGGTCCATGGCCCCAAAAATGTAGTTTTTCAGCTGGTTTCTAAAAAAAAAAAAAAACACACACAAAAAAAATGCCGCTTTTTACTGACAATCGCAATGTTAACATCTTTAAAGCCTTCATGACCAACATCATTAGTATTTATTAGAGTCAAAGGCAGCTTATTTATGAAGCTTTTTATGCACAAGACAATGAAAAATGCTTTATAGCTGAAAATCTCAAAGACTTTCTTTATTACAAAATGATTTAATAATAAAGCTTAAAGTTCTGCACTGTGTTAAAGACGAAGATGGTAAAATCTGGATATCAAACCTATTTATTTCTTATCCAGAGACCACAGATTAAACAGGTCTCTGAGATCCTGATGGTTCGTGCTTTAAAGCCAATCAGAAAAGTATTTCAGCCAAATACTGTGCCTATAATGGCTGAAAGAAGTGATGGATGCTGAGCCTTAAAAACATGAACCCTTTTTTTATCTAATCTGCCTCGATCAAACAAGATGGAGCACCAGATCGGAGTGTAGCATACCCAAACACAAAACTGTTTTTGGATAAATCCATAGAGGAATAAAACAAACTCTAATCAAGAAAGCTACAGATTTACAAGCTGTATCAGAGGAACAATAAATCACCAAAGATCAAATATAGGATCAATATGGTCCTCGTGAGGTTAACTTTTATCTGTTTATTTGGAAACTGTATGCATATGTGTTGTAATATTGGATTTCGGATAGTATTATATCAACATAATATTAAATAAGCTTTTACTCTTGTCTTTGTACTAAAATCATAATCTCATTTTTTTGTTTTTTTTGTATCTCTTTGCTGCCAGATGGACAGCAGATGGCAATCATTAAACTGTTACAGTTTAATGCATTTCTGTACATTGATGAAATACTGTCACTGCTTGCTGCAAAATATAATATAAAATAATATTAACTAATATTATTTCAAGGCTGCACTTTAAAAAATGAAAATGTCTAGAGCTGTTTTAAACGAAATTTCTTTTTGTTTACACTCATGTATACAAAATGACAAAATAAAATAAATAAATCTATGGGGTCCCTCCTGAAGCTTTCCAGAAAGCCTAATGTGGCTGAGATTGATTTGTTTGACTTTAAACAGGCTGTTCTTCGAGAAAATCCTCCACTTTGGCTGAAAATTATTAGTTTTCCAAAAACAAAGTGGACAAGGGTTCCAAAGGCAAGTAAATGACTTGTTCCTACTTATCAGAGACACTCAATAACAGTTATTTGGTTTACTTTGTCACATAACCTGGTTTGATTGGAAGATTCCATCTTGTTTGCCCAACTTTTGCTTTAAAGATGCATTTTAAGACAGATTTAAGTTTTTAATTTCCCTTTGGGGTCAACTCTTTCATCTCTAATCTAGTCTCTGCATCATACTTAAAAACATCATATTTGCACTAACAACATGGTTGATTTTTTTTTTTTTAATAATCCCTTTAAATCAAACACAACTCATTGTTCTACTGCATTTTGCACCATATTTATTTATTTGCACTGCACTGAACCTTTCCTTATCTATGCCTTTTGCACTATGGCTTTTAAACTGGATTTCTTTTCTCCTACACTGTTTACACTCTTTGATCACTGCTGCACTTGTATACCATCACATTTTTGTTTGTCTAAGTCAATTTTTGAACTAAATTGAATTGAGAAAAACATATAAAACATGTTTTCCACAGCTGTGCATTTGCTTTTTTGATACCTGAAAGTCTGTGAGTTGATGCGGTATGGGGCAGTGCGCTTCGTGCCACACATTGCCATGAGCCCCACTGCGGGTCCACAGTATAACCTCATAGCCAAGGCCGTCCATCAGCTTTACATTCAGAGCTCCTGGATGAGATCAGGAAGATCGACTCATTAGTTTGTATCTGATCAGGAGTCAATGCTTCATTCGTGATCAGAGCAATAGATGAGCTCCAGGTTTGATCACCTGCGTCTGGCCCATAGAGCTTGTAGAAGAAGGTCAGACACATCTCTGTTGATGCTGGAGGCTGTAGGAATGACACCAAGCGTCCAGAAGCTCCAAGTAGTGATGGACTCCACATGTCCACGACAAGACTGCTGCCTGATGATCAACGACAGGAAGATGGACACAGATTCCTCTCAATAAGTGATGATATATTTGAAAAGTGAAACTTAGACATTATTCATTAGACATAACACGATTCAGTTTTAGGTGAGAACAATAATAAAATATTTCAACAAATAATGTTTTTAGCTATTTCAGATTCCATGTTCATTCTCTAAAGAAAGATTTGCTCAGTAGAGCTAAAGTTTCTTTAATCAATAAAAGTTATCAATTTTTTTTAAATAGTCTATTTTAACTGATTGTTGGCATGAAAGGATTATTGTTGTATTGAACAGTTTCATTTCTTTAGATCTGAAGGTTTTCTACAAGTAGCAAAACCTGAAATTATCAGTCTGGAAAACTTGGAAAGTTGATTTTTCTCACCTATTCCAATAGTGTGATCCATCCCAGTAACCAAAGACCAGTCAAAGTTGTCACTGTTGTCCTGATACCAACTGCACAGTCCTTCCTCAAAGTTACAGGACAGTCCTGGTATCAAGAAACGTTCAATTAAAACATTTAAAATACAAAAAAAAAACTATTTTCTTTTTTTTACTAATAGTGCTAATATTTACCTGTTGGTGTAGCTGGATAATAGTCAGTGTGGCAGTTGATGAACTGAACGTTCCTCACTTTGATCCATGCATACGGCTGAGTTTTTACAGCCCGGGCTTCAAATGCCAACTTAAAAAAAGAAGCAAAAATGTTGGATATGCAGCATCATCAAAAGTCAGTTCTTTGAAATGTAAAACATCGCACTAGAGTACACAAAATTGTACTTAACTAAAAGTAACACTACTTCAATGTATTTTTACTCAAAATGTAATGAGAAGAAGCCATTCAATAAAAAAAAAAAAAAAAAAAGAATTTGGTAAAAAGGCGACGCAACTAATTAGCAACTCATCATAACATCTGATCTGCTTAAAATTATGCAATAAAGATGGATGGAAATGCAAAGTTATGTGCAATTTTTTGTATTTTTACAACTATATATATATATATAAAAAAAACATAATTGGCTGAAAAATGACAAAAAATAACAATTCCAGGCTGAAACCAAACCTACCAAATTTCATGGTACTGTAGGTTGAAGTGTGTACAAAAAAGGAGCACTTATTTTGACAAAAAAATTAACTGTGTCTTCTTCTGAAGCACTATTTTAAAAACAAACTTGTTCTTTTTCATTGAAATTACTAATGATGGATAGAGCAACCAAATATTTTACTTTTTTTATTTTCATTAGAACATTATTCAAGTAAAGTCCTGAAACGACTTCTACTGTAAATGTATATTTTTGCAAAGAAGTTACTTAAGTAACTTAGTGAGTAAATTTAACTTGTTACTACCCAACTCTGTTTTTACCAGTCATATACCTGATGTTTTCCTGTTAAGTGTTCATTACCAAGCTAATGTGGGAAATAAAAAGCATCCAATAACCCAGCTGTGCAGAAAATTATTTAAGTACTTTTATAAAATGTATTTAATCTCTGGTTTCATCTGTATGGAAAAGGTTAGACAAAAAAAAAAAAGCATTTTGAGGCCTAAATGGTTTGAAAATTGGATCAGAGAAAATGCAATAATTAAGTTGTAAAAACATACTTGGAAACGATGTTTTCTATGCCCAATAAGAATGTTAGCTTGTTGCCAGGCCTCCTCCTTCTTTTCCTCTGCTCCTGTTTTTCCGCTGAACTCCCACAGTTTAGGACTCGGCCCCAGCAGGCTGTCGATCACTCTGAGCGAAAGCTCACCTTTATCAAAAAGATGTAATCACTGTTGTGTATAGAAAAATCAAAAACCTTTCAGACATTGGGTTGGAAATTACCGATGTGATCCAAACTCCCGGTGAGAGCGAAGTCAAAGCTTAGAGAACAGACTGGACCTGTAGGGCCCAGGAGGGGCGTCCGAGTCTGGGCTTCGGTCAGCTGCTGACCTGAAGCCTCAGCTACATACAGGTACTCTTCTTTTGTAGAAGTAAAAAAAAAAAAAAACACATCACATATTAGTGGACAAATAGGCAGCATCAATTAATTAATTAATAATAATTTTTACCTTTAGCTGTAGCATTTTTATGGAGCACCCAGCCTTGACTCCCAACACTAGCGTCAGTCCAGCCAGAGCTTCCCTCAACATAGGAGAAATCTCCTGCAGCAATCATACATGAAGACATCACACATGAAGTGCATCCTTTAAACCCTTACAGACAAGATCCAAACCAAATGCGCACATTCAGGCCTTTATCTGACTTGTATTTCTAATCAAATCCTTAATATTGGGAATGGAAATGTTTCTGCTTTCTTTATTAGATGTCCTCATTAGCTGGTGTGTGCTTAAGCTTTGTTGCCCCAATTAAAGAAAAACAAGCAAATGTGCTAAATATGTTATTATCTTGGTGCTTATGACTGGCTTAATTATTCATTTCATTCACCTGTCTAACTCTGCCTGGTTTCTCATCACTGCTCATCTGATCCACCTACTCCTGCCTTTATATAAGCTGCTTGCATCCAGTCATCAGAGCAAGATTATTCTTGTTCTCTCCAGTCAGTGGTGAGAGTGTTTTTAGAGTTTCTTGGTGTTTCTGATTTCCTGATCCTGACCTGTTCTGCCTCTCAACCACTGAGCCTGCCTGTTCCTGTTCTGATATGTTTGCCTGACCTGGCTTTGAGCTCCTGCTTGTTCTTTGGGGCTGCATCATCTGGTACGCTCTGGGCGGCGCCCGCCCTACTTTTTGGCAGCCCACCGCCTGGAACCTACCTTGTTCTCTGGGCCTGGACTGAACTTGTAAACCAGGGTTACGTGGCCACTAACCTATGTTTCCTTTTGCAGAGTCACTGCTACTCTGATTCCTGTGGTTTTAAATAAACATTTTTTTTCCCACGTTTCTTGCATGAATACTGGGTCTTCTGTTCTAAGTTGTGACAAAATAATTGAAATTCAGAGAAAGATGCCTTCCTAATAAACACAGAACTAGAATGACGATAATGTGCCACCTCAAACTATATTAATGAGTTGGAAAAAAACTGCCTGCACTATCTAAATCTGATCAAATGAAAGAAATTGGTGGCATTAATCATATCACCTTAAATTCAGTTACCAACATCCCTTTTCCGAGCAGTAAATGAAATCAATTTAAGTTCATTAAAAGATATCATTTTAAAGGGACCAAAGACCTTTTCTTTTCAAAAACTTTAAACTAAAGACATTAAAACCCTTCATCCATTTTGCATTGGTTATACTCTGAAAACAATGTATAACCTACCAAATTTCCTTTAATGAATAACATAATAAAGATAAGAGGAAGAAAAATAGATATTTCCAAGTTTAATGAGCAGGATGGACTTGGGACAAATTTGTGGCTTTAGGAGCAATAATGCCATCATTAATGGAGCAATTAAAAGAATAAAAGCACCACATCAGGAAACATTGGAAGAAGATTAATACATAGATATAGAATTTAATTCTGGTTTTTGGGCAAAAAAGAAAAAGAAAAATGCAGATGTTTTTAGCTTCTGAGTGCTGAAAACACACGTTCAAGCAAATAACCTTATTGTTTAAATGAATGGCTGAGACTTATTTTGTCTGATGCTTTTTTTTTAGTTGAAAGAAACTCACCGCATTTGGCTTCATCTTCTGCTTCAGCACAGTCTGCATTAAAATCACACATCTTCTCTGGATCATCAATGCACGGATCCTTTGGAGGTTTGGGTATGGTTTCAAGAGTGTTGTTCTCTACTCAGGAAAATAAACAAAAGAAAAAAAAGAAAAGAAAAGTGTTTTTTGATGCAGTTGTTTAAACTTTGTACCTAAGATATATTTTTGGAAATGTCAACGACAAGCATACCAGATGACCGGCGGCATTCAGGAGACAACACGATGCTGTCAACACCAATGCCTCCATAAGCAAAGTCTCTGATAGCGGCCATTATCAGAATCTGTGGAGATTTGACAGAACAAAAGAAAACAGGGTTATCTTTTTATTTATGATAATCCGACCTGAATGATCAAAAATGCAGAAAATATCCATAGAATATACATAACGTTAGTAGGATCAATATATCCAAACTTAAATGTAAAAACTTAAATGTAAAAATATAAAATAATGTTATTTACAGAATATTGATTTGAAATGTAAATAACTGTAACTTCTATGTAAAGCACATATTATAGAAAGAAATAGAATAAAATTAAATGTCTGGGTTTTTACATGTAACCACTTGCAGTAGATTTTCACCAAAGCAGATGATCTGCGTTTATATTTGAACAATATTATTGTTAACAACTTTTGTCGTTTGACTACTATTTACCATGGGAGATACGTGAGCTACGTCTTAATCTACCTGGAAGGTTGAGTTCGACACGATCTCCACCTCTGCCTTTGCCCATAGATCCCCTAAAGCTCCGCCTCTTTCCCAGGCTGGGTAAAGTAGGCGTTGAGCAACCAGCACCGTCAAGCCGCCGGACCTCGGCCCAAACTGGTGAGTGTACATGACCATCTAAAGCAAACAAAGGAGCAATTCCTGGTAATACCTTTTAAAATGATAAAACTTACATCATTGGAGAATTTTAACTACAGAAACGCAGTCCTGATGATGTAGCACATTTTATTGTTTTATGCTCCAATTTCTAAGTTCTGATAAGGATGAAAATATTTTATTTTTAGACGTTATAACCTAAAACACCCATAATCCATCCATCCATCTACCAATTTATCATCCATCCATCCATCCATCCATCCATCCATCCATCCATCCATCCATCCATCCATCCATCCATCCATCCATCCATCCATCCATCCTTCCATCCATCCATCCATCCATCCATCCATCCTTCCATCCTTCCATCCATCCATCCATCCATCCATCCATCCTTCCATCCATCCATCCATCCATCCATCCATCCATCCATCCATCCATCCATCCATCCATCCATCCATCCATCCATCCATCCATCCATCCATTTTTTAGCAACATTTGTATCAACTGCAGTTGTAATACTGATTCTTTTTTTTGTTGCATTAATGTAAGCAGATATATTTGCTAAAGAGGTCAGATAGAGCATCCATAACCTGTCAAACCAACCTTACAAGGATGTGAGCTATTTGTTGGTTGAAGAGGCGGACTCTGAAAAGAAGCCCAGTCCATTTTGAGACCACTATCAGGGACAGTGACGTACAGGAAGTGACCTGTCAAAAGAAAGATAATAAAAGGACAATTTGATTATTGAACTGGGAGATAGTGGGTAGAATCAAACCAGACTTTAGCAGTGAAAATCAGAAATAAAAAAAGACACACCTGATGCTGAGTTGGAGTGATCTCTGCCTGGGCCTTTCAGGGGATCGGTTCTTGAGATATTCTCTTGGTTTGTTCTGATCCATTTCAGTTTAGAAAATGATCTCAGATCCCAATTACACAAACCCTCCTCAAAGTCACAGCGGTTGTAACCATCTGGAGAAAATGTTTCACTATTAAATTGCAAATCTGGACCAGATGAGTGGGGGACTCCTCGGTTTGATTGATTTATTATAGACATTTGCAGTGCACTAAATGAAGAAAATCATTGTTTCATCTTATATAACTTTAGCACAAGGAATAAACACCCTTGTTTCATTTTTCAAAATCAGGCTGTAGCAGCATTTTAGTGGAATTTCCATTGATTGAGAGAAAACTCAAAACTTCTGTGATTTTCAATTTGTTTTTTTTTTAACGTTTACTGCTTTGGTCTCATGTCTTACCACAGGACTCCTCATCGGTGCCATCGCCACAGTCATCAGTGCCGTCACAGACCTGCCGCTGCTCCACGCAGCCCCCCCTACGACAGGTCACCATCTCTGCAGAACAGTTGATCCCAGGGGGTGGCGCTATTGGGTCAAACAAACAAATACATTTTGAATCAAAGTACTTACTCATATTTTGCAGTCTACATTAATTAAAGATCATTTAAGTCAATGAGGAGCTGGTGAGGCATTAAACTTACAGGGCAGAGCACAGTCTAGAAACTCCAGCTGGTCTAAAGCTACATCGCCTTTCCGTCCCTCTGACCGCTCTGTGTATAGATGGATCCGAAAAGGGGAGGAAATGCGACCCAGAAAAATGTCAGCTTCCCTCCAGCTACGAATACTGGAGGCCTCAGGACGCCACACGATAGCCTCCTCAGAGCCCTGCTGATGGATAGAAGCCCACAGAGGAGTAGATCCTAAACCTGTGTGACCTGCAGGTAAAGATAGATATATTTCAAGAGAACTAATATATCACATTAGTCAAGCTCATATCTAATTACAGTATATGCTGATGATAGAGTTATAATTTTGTATTATTGCCTAAATAAAAGTGAATGAGTCAGTCCATAATAATAAAGAGCTTAGTCAGAACTGATTGTGTTAATTCTCCATCAGCTGGGTCATGGTGACAACAAACAGGCTTAATTTGGAGGGCAACTGGACCTTCGCTCAGTTTTTGAAGATGTTTCAGCAACTTACTAAGAGTCTTTGGCAATTTTTGCTCAGGATAGAGCCAAGGTAATGTAAAGAGACATCTCAATAGGTGGTGAAACATCTTCGAAAAGTTAGTGAAAGTCCAGTCGTCTTGTAATTTAAGCCTGTTTTTGAGGTTATTAGTCTAAATTAAAATAATTAGTAATGAAATAATTGAAATAATGGATAAAAGCAATCACTATAAGGTTCATTCAATTCAATTCATTTCATTTATATAGCGCCATTTCACAACACGCCATCTCAAGGTGCTTTACATAGACAAGGTTAGTTAGGTAGGATAGTCAGTTTGTTGGTTGGTCCAATGCACAGATGGATGGTTGGATGAAGGGATGCATGAATGGATGGATGATGAATGGATGGATGATGAATGTATGGATCAATAAATGAATTGACGCTTACAGGTGCTGGTCATAAAATTAGAATATCATGAAAAAGTAGATTGATTTCAGTAATTCCATTTAAAAAGTGAAACTTGTATATTATATTCATACATTACATACAAACTCATATATTTCAGATGTTTATTTTGTTTAATTTTGATGATTACAAATGACAACAAATGAAAATCTCAAATTCATCATATCAGAAAATTAGAATATTACTGAAGACCAATAAAAACAAAGGATTTATAGAAATGTTGGCCAACTGAAAAGTATGAACATGAAAAGTATGAGCATGTACAGCACTCAGTATTTAGTTGGGCCTCCTTTGGCCTGTATTACTGCAGCAATGCGGCGTGGCATGGAGTCGATCAGTCTGTGGCACTGCTCAGGTGTTATGATAGCCCAGGTTGCTCTAATAGTGGCTTTTAGCTCTTCTGAATTGTTGGGTCTGGTGTATTGCATCTTCTTCTTCACAATACCCCATAGATTTTCTATGGGGTTAAGGTCAGGAGAGTTTGCTGGCCAATTAAGAACAGGGATACCATGGTCCTTCAACCAGGTACTGGTAGCTTTGGCACTGTGTGCAGGTGCCAAGTCCTGTTGGAAAATGAAATCTGCATCTCCAAAAAGTTGGTCAGCTGCAGGAAGCATGAAGTGCTCTAAAACTTCCTGGTATGTGGCTGCGTTGACCCTGGACCTCAGAAAACACAATGGACCAACACCAGCAGATGACATGGCACCCCAAACCATCACTGACTGTGGAAACTTTACACTGGACTTCAAGCAACGTGGATGAAGTGCCTCTCTTCTTTTCCTCCAGACTCTGGGACCTTGATTTCCAAAGGAAATGCAAAATTTACTTTCATCAGAGAACATGACTTTGGACCACTCACCAGCAGTCCAGTCCTGTTTCTCTTTAGCCCAGGCAAGACGCTTCTGACGCTGTCTGTGGTTCAAGAGTGGCTTGACACAAGGAATGCGACAGCAGAAACCCATGTCTTTCATACGTCTGTGTGTGGTGGTTCTTGAAGCACTCACTCCAGCTGCAGTCCACTCTTTGTGAATCTCCCCCACATTTTTGAATGGGTTTTGTTTCACAATCCTCTCCAGGGTGCGGTTATCTCTCTTGCTTGTACACTTTTTTCGACCACATCTTTTCCTTCCCTTCGCCTCTCTATTAATGTGCTTGGACACTGAGCTCTGTGAACAGCCAGCCTCTTTAGCGATGACCTTTTGTGTCTTGCCCTCCTTGTACAAGGTGTCGATGGTCGTCTTTTGGACAACTGTCAAGTCAGCAGTCTTCCCCATGATTGTGTAGCCTATAGAACTAGACTGAAAGACCATTTAAAGGCTTTTGCAGGTGGTTTGAGTTAATTAGCTGATTAGAGTGTGGCACCAGGGGCCATCAATTTTGAACCTTTTCACAATATTCTAATTTTCTGATATGATGAATTTGAGATTTTCATTTGTTGTCATTTGTAATCATCAAAATTAAACAAAATAAACATCTGAAATATATGAGTTTGTATGTAATGTATGAATATAATATACAAGTTTCACTTTTTAAATGGAATTACTGAAATCAATCTACTTTTTCATGATATTCTAATTTTATGACCAGCACCTGTATATGGATGGATGGATGGATGGATGGATGGATGGATGGATGGATGGATGGATGGATGCATGAATGAACAGATGAATGGGGTGATGGGTGGATGGATGGGTGGATAAATGGATGGATGGATGGATGGATGGATGGATGGTGTTATGGATGGGTGAATAGAGGGATGGATGTATGGATGGATGATGAATGAAAGGATTGACAGATGAATGGTTGCATGGATGGATGCATGGGTGGATGAATGGATGGATGGTTGGATGGGTGTATGGATGGATGGATTAATGGGGTGATGGATGGATGGATGGATGGATGGATGAATGGATGGATGGTTGGTTGGATGGGTGTATGGATGGATGGATGAATGGGGTGATGGATGGGTGGATGAATGGATGGATGGATGAATGGGGTGATGGATGGGTGGATGAATGGATGGATGGATGGATGGTTGGATGGATGAATGGATGGATGGATGGATGGATGAATGAATGGGGTGATGGATGGGTGGATGAATGGATGGATGGATGGATGGATGAATGAATGGGGTGATGGATGGGTGGATGAATGGATGGATGGATGGATGGATGAATGGGGTGATGGATGGATGGATGAATGGGGTGATGGATGCATGGATGGATGGATGGATGGATGAATGGCTGGATGAATGGGGTGATGGATGGGTGGATGAATGGATGGATGGATAGATGAATTGGGTGGATGAATGGATGGATGGTTGGATGGGTGTATGGATGGATGGATGAATGGGGTGATGGATGGATGGATGGATGGATGAATGGATGGATGGTTGGATGGGTGTATGGATGGATGGATGAATGGGGTGATGGATGGGTGGATGAATGGATGGATGGATGGATGAATGGGGTGATGGATGGGTGGATGAATGGATGGATGGATGGATGGATGGATGGTTGGATGGATGAATGGGGTGATGGATGCATGGATGGATGGATGGATGGATGGATGAATGGCTGGATGAATGGGGTGATGGATGGGTGGATGAATGGATGGATGGGTGGATGAATGGATGGATGGATGAATGGGTGGATGAATGGATGGATGAATGGGGTGATGGATGGGTGGATGGATGGATGAATGGATGGATGGATGGTTGGATGAATGGGTAGATGAATGGATGGATGGATGGATGGATTGGTGGATGAATGGATGGATGGTTGGATGGATGAATGGGGTGATGGATGGATGGATGGATGGATGAATGGGGTGATGGATGCATGGATGAATGGATGAATGCGTGGATGAATGGATGGATGGATGGATGGATGGATGGGTGGATGAATGGATGGATGGTTGGATGGATGAATGGGGTGATGGATGGATGGATGGATGGATGAATGGGGTGATGGATGGATGGATGGATGGATGAATGGGTGGATGAATGGATGGATGAATGGGGTGATGGATGCATGGATGGATGGATGGATGGATGAATGGCTGGATGAATGGATGGATGAATGGATGGATGGACGAATGGATGGATAGATAGATGGATGGATGGATGGACAGACGGATGGATGGATGGACGAATGGATGGATGGATGGATGGATGGACGGAAGGACGGATGGATGGATGGGTGGATGGATGAATGGATGGATGAATCCATGCATGGATAGATGGATGGGTAGGTGGCAGTATAATAAAAAAATTTGCTCTCGCATGAAGCCAACAAATGTGAAGGCGGCTTTAGCTACTGTTTTCTAACCATCAGAACAGTCATTTCAGCTTGGAGCCGTTACCTGAGTCCCACAGGAAGTATCTGAGACGCAGACGACAGGTTGGTGAAGAGTGTTTTATCTCCGGAGAGATTATATTCGACCTCTGAAGAAAAGCTGTCCCCACTGCACTCACTGACATGAACCAACCTATATGACAGGAGACAGTAAAGGCTTTAATTTAAGCTATAAAGTAGTTTAGTTTAGTACAGGATCTCTTTTATCTTAGCTGGAAAAGTCAGCCTCTTTAATACATGCCACTGGCAGAGTGTTTATGGTTTCATTATCATCAAACAACCTTATGCAAGATAGAAATTTACAGTAACACCTTCTCTAACAGTACATCAACAACTATGTAATGACATAGTAATAACATAGCAAGTTACACTTTTACCAGGTAACAAGAAAAACTATGGAAGAAAAACAGTCTAATTGGAATCTGCCTTTTTTTAATACACCGAATTTTAAACACTGAATGTTTTTAACACGTAATTTTACACATTGAATTCCTTACACTGAATTTATATCTGGTAAATAATTTGCCTGCAAAAATTTCAGCTGTAAAAAAATCAGCTGCAAAAAAATCAGCTGTAAAAAATTCTGTTATGAAAAAATCAGCTGCAAAAAATTCAGCTGTAAAAAATTTAGTTGCAAAAAATTCAGCTGTAAAAAAAATTTCCCGGCTGAATGAAGCTGAATGACACGGAAGAGGATTAGGGCCACTGAAAAAAAATTAAAAAGTTAACTGATTTTTAAATTTTATTTCAGTTTACATGGGAAAAAAGTCAGAATTCTGAGAAAAAAAGTCCGAATTCTGAGATTAAAGTCAGAATTCTGACTTTTTCCCCATGCTATACTGAAATAAAATGAAAAAAATCTGTTAACTTTTTTTTTTTTCAGTGGCCCTAATCCTCTTCCGTAGAATGAGGACATTTTTATTTTGATAATAAGATATGATCACAAAAGGTCAGGTAGCTACTAATAGACAGCGGTCGTCAAACTTCTTTTTTTTTCTGACCAAATGAGCTCACTTAATTGGCTAGAAGCTGTTCGACTGCATCAAGTGTAGATTGCTTCGGCTTGAGTTCACCAGAAGGTTGAAACATTTGCCCTCGATTTTTTTCCAGCTGAATTTTATACAGGCAAATTTTTTGTAGGTAAATATTTTGCAGCTGAATTTTCACCAGATAAAGTTTCGTTATAAGGAATTTAATGTGTAAAAAAATTCTGTGTTTAAAATTCATTGTAAAAAAACAGGCAGGCTCCAATGAGACTGTTTTACTTCCATAGGCACTACTTTTTTATTTTATTTTTACTTTTAATAAACTAATGGCACATTTAGATAATATTTTTACAAGTCTTTTTTTTTTTGTATAGTGGCACTCACTACCCTCCATAGAGGAGAACTTTACACAGCAGAAGCATTTTCTGACCTGTAGGTGTGCCAGTGGTGTAGTCAGATGATGGTCCACTGTCCAGCAGATGGTCGCCACTCTGAACTCTCTCCCATGTGTATTCTCCTCCAGAGGGTTCGATGGTCCATCCACACAGTCCCGCATCCTCAAAGTCACATTCAAACGTTTTCCCAGAATAGCCTAAGTAATCAAATTTAAAACCTTAGATCAATTTACGCGAAATCCTGAATAATTAATTGCTGAAATATTTAATAGCTACTCATTCAAACTTACCACAGTTTTGCTCATCGGCACAGTCAGAACAATCACACACAAAGTCACATTTCCCTTCAGGAGTCTCACACAGTGACGACCAGGAAGCATAAACTGTGTTATAAGTTGAAATATTTCATGTTATTGAGACAGTATCTAAACAGACGTCTTCAACAACAATTTCAGGCATAATTATCTTATAAGGCACTTCATTGTGTAAAATTTTACTCTGACATTTTAAAACACAACATGGAGAAAAATTATGCTTCTATTTTTCAATGAGGTAAAAAAATAAAAAATTTCAACAAATCTCAAACGTACGGAGCCCCTAAAGGGACATGGAGGGGAAAAAATAACTTTTGCGAGATCCTGCAATATTTTTGCGAGATCCTGCAATACTTTTGCGAGATCCCCCAATACTTTTGCGAGATCCCGCAAAACTTTTGCGAGATCCCCCAATACTTTTGCGAGATCCCACAATACTTTTGCTAGATCCCCCAATACTTTTGCGAGATCCCCCAATACTTTTGCAAGATCCCGCAATACTTTTGCGAGATCCTGCAATACTTTTGTGAGATCCCGCAATACTTTTGTGAGATCCCGCAATACTTTTGCTAGATCCCCCAATATTTTTGCGAGATCCCCCAATACTTTAGCGAGATCCCGCAATACTTTTGTGAGATCCCACAATACTTTTGCGAGATCCCGCAATACTTTTGCGAAATCCTGCAATACTTTTGCGAGATCCCGCAATACTTTTGTAAGATTCCCCCAATACTTTTGCGAGATCCCCCAATACTTTTGCGAGATCCGGCAATACTTTTGCGAGATCCTGCAATACTTTTGTGAGATCCCGCAATACTTTTGCGAGATCCCGCAATACTTTTGCGAGATCCCCCAATACTTTTGCGAGATCCCCCAATACTTTTGCAAGATCCTGCAATACTTTTGCGAGATCCCCCAATACTTTTGCGAGATCCTGCAAAACTTTTGCGAGATCCCCCAATACTTTTGCGAGATCCCCCAATACTTTTGTGAGATCCCGCAATACTTTTGCGAGATTCCCCCAATACTTTTGCGAGATCCCCCAATACTTTTGCGAGATCCGGCAATACTTTTGCAAGATCCTGCAATACTTTTGTGAGATCCCGCAATACTTTTGCGAGATCCCGCAATACTTTTGCGAGATCCCCCAATACTTTTGCGAGATCCCGCAAAACTTTTGCGAGATCCCCCAATACTTTTGCGAGATCCCGCAATACTTTTGCGAGATCCCCCAATACTTTTGCAAAGTCCCGTAAAACTTTTGCGAGATCCCCCAATACTTTTGCGAGATCCCGCAAAACTTTTGCGAGATCCCCCAATACTTTTGCAAGATCCTGCAATACTTTTGCGAGATCCCCCAATACTTTTGCGAGATCCTGCAAAACTTTTGCGAGATCCCCCAATACTTTTGCGAGATCCCCCAATACTTTTGTGAGATCCCGCAATACTTTTGCTAGATCCCCCAATACTTTTGCGAGATCCCGCAATACTTTTGCGAGATCTCGCAAAACTATTGCGGGATCTCGCAAAAGTTTATTTTTTCTCTTCATGTCCCTTTAGGGGCTCCGTGCAAGAGTGCCATTGTTAAGATTTGTATTTTTTCCAGCAGTAGCCAGTGGACAAAATTAATAGGTCTGGGGAATTAGGTAGAATTTCTCCTAATTTCTCATATATCGTCCAATGTTAACGATTATTCTTTTTTATATACTGGGTTTGGTCCTATAAGTAAAACTGGATTCATACTAAAAATTTATGTCATTACCATATTTTTTAAATGTATTTATGTGTTTAATAAGTGGAGGGGAATGATCCTGTGACAGTGATCCAGGATTGTGAAGGGTTTAAATGGAGTTGAGAAGGCTCTGTGAATATATGATAGTAAAAAAAAATGTATATACATATAAATACCAGCAAAACTCCACTATCTAAATACAACCGACCTTAAATGCTGTTCACAATAAGACAGCATTAGGATAATTTATTTCTGAGCAGATTTTTTGAATTGTAAATGGTCTCATGTTCTCTTTACACTACATTCAGTAATTCACGTACACATTCCTTTGAGGAAATGAGAAACTGATCATAAAAAACAGTAAGGTCATGAAAACCGAGTTAGTTAAGCTGGGCTAACCTGACTGGTGGATGAATACATTAACTCCAATGTATGCTGTCAGCATCTTAACAACTTAAGTGTATTTTTATTACAATGAAAATAACAAAATAGAGAAAAATTAACATAATGAGCTGAATTTTACAATATTAAAGAAGATTCATGATAGTTAAAGGAGTACATGTAATATCAGTGCTTCTGTTTGAAGCTTTTACAGATTAACTAGGAGGAATCAGGGCCAAACTCTTAGTATGATTGTTTCTAAAGGTTTATGGCCCAGCTTGTAACAGTAGGCTCAAAGGCCATAGAGAAATGCACAGCTTTCCATTATCTAACTAAAAGGCGTTTGATAGAGTTCAAGGGGTTTAAAACACTGTACAGCATTAAATGGAACATGATAATTGCCATTATAAAGAGCCCCAATGACCTGACAACATTCCAGATGACTAAAAAAACCCAAATCATATAAACTTTCTTTTAACTGAAGAATTTTAATGTGTGATTATAAGAAAATACTAAATAAAAATATTCAACAATTTAGAATAGAAGTTCTGTTAAGGGGTTTTTCATCAGATTAAAAGTTGTTTTTGGATATCTATGAGTAGGTTGAAAACATCCTTTTAATCAAACCAACACCGTTGAACTAAACTTTATATTTGTTTGGTGTTATTCTAGTTTTAACTGTCAGATTTTAGTAGCTTTAAAGGAAAATTATGAATGAAAGAAATAAAGAATTTAAAACTGTGCGATGAATCTTGATGTTTCACTTACTGAACTGAGTAACTGAATTAAATTAACCTTTTCATACAATTGTAACTTACTCAAAAAATGATATACTATTTCATCTGTATACAAAGTTCATTCTAGTTTCAAAAGGTTCAATTTGAAACTCTTATTTAGACCACTACTATTTAACTGTATAAATTTCAACAATCCTGATTAGATCAATATCTTACATAATAAAACAAGAATAAAATATCACTTTCTGGTGTCATTTTACCCTCACACACAGGTAATAGATTGTAAGCTTCCTAAGGGGTGTAGATTTTAGCAAAGTATGGAAATGCTTGCCATTAACCGAAATCTTGTTAAATATATGTGTTTTAGGTTAAATTAAAATAAATTTTTTATGTATTTCTTTAAGGATATAACAGTAGATCCGTTTTGCAGGGGAGCGGTTAACTGGAAAACTTCTTTCTGAGCTGCGTCTTGCCTTGGATGAGGGCGTTTGTAGATTTTTCTAAGTAAATTATTGCCTAAATTCCTCAGCTAGAACTATAGCAAGCAGAACGCAGGAAGGCTGGCAAATTATTTCTCTAAAATAAATAGATCAACATTGATTTGCATGAAAAAATCTGCTGTATTTAGCCATTAAATAATTGACTTTTTTTTAAATTACAGTCATCATTGAACTGTCTGACAAATTAAATAAAAAAAACCACAAAATTTGTGTTAGATCATTTATTTGTATCAACTCTAAAACATGAAGCATTTCTGTGTAATTCTTTTATGTTTTCTCTTCACTAAATGTGCCTGATTGTGTAAATAAGGATGTTCAAGAACAAAAATATCACACTGATGACGCAGAGGTTAGAAACCAAATGTATCAAATATGATACACTTGGCTTTAAAGGGTTAAGGCTTGGATTTAGGTCTTTTCAGAACTTAAAAAAGCTTGGTAAAGAAATGTTTGGCTCAGATTTCACCTGCAAAGACAATTGTTTACAATAATTCATAATATGAATAAATACTGCAGTTTAATAAACTATTAAATCTTTCTGAATTGGAGAATGTAACTCACAAAACCTCTACTGGTTTTGACTTTATCTATTTGAAACTAAAGTAAATGGAGAATAGGACAGTCACTGAAAAAGACAAAGCAGGCAAAAGGTTCATATAAAAATGTAAAACACTTCTAACCGCCGGATACAACAAAGGTGTCATTTAGTGGCTTTGAATATCATCTTACCAAACTGCAAAGATAACAGCAACAAGAAGGTTGATCTCTGAAAACGTGGCATTTTTTCCCGTTAGATCACATCTCAGTCTGAGTGCTGTCTGAAGAGATTTCACTGGCCGACTCTAAACTTTATTTCCCGCAGATAACAGTTGGACTTTAAAATCAGCCAGCTTGCAAAAACAACCATAAAACAAACGCCATATGCCAGCAGACATACTTATATTGCACAAGAGATGTGCTTAAACATGCTGGGAGTGAACGCAGCATTTAATACTTGGAATTGATTGTCAAAATTCTAACATGATGATTGGTTCTCAGCCAAATTATCCCAAAGCTGTTCTGTATGGGGGCTGCATGGTGGCACATATTCTATTTCTGTTGCCTTGCAGCATAACTAAAAATGATTTAAAGGGGGTTTTTGATGACAAACCAGCTTAATGTCATGATTGAAGGCTCTATTGTGTAAAAAATAAGTTCTCCAATGGATATCAGCTTTTTGCTTTGACCAGTTTTCCTACACATGGCTAAATTGTGCCAAAATCACAGCTCCGCTTGGAGCACTGCTGACTAAAAACCTGGAGGAACAAATGTGATCCAAATGATTTTTAATTGAGGATTAAAACTGTGCTTTGCAATGTTTATACAGAACTTGAGTCGAAGGCTTGAATAGATTTTTTTTCTTTGTTTAATCAGACATAAATCACAAGTAGCAAATGTTTTCATTTAGAACTCTTAGTGCTTAACAGTTTAATACAAGTGACATCTCAGGGTGGACATTTTATAGGAAATTTCATGACTGGACTGGCTATACTGGTGGCATCCTCTCACAGTGCCACACGGGAAGGTCTAGGGATCCTGAGAGCGGCCTGTTCTACCATAAATTTGTAGAAACAGTCTGCATACTTCAGTGATTTGAACGCCTGGTTTCAAATATTTGGATGGGAGAGCATATACTTTCAGCAATATAATGCGTTAGAATACAGAAAAATGGAAGCGGGTAGTGTTAACGAACTTGTGAATATACAGGTGCTGGTCATAAAATTAGAATATCATGAAAAAGTAGATTGATTTCAGTAATTCCATTTAAAAAGTGAAACTTGTATATTATATTCATACATTACATACAAACTCATATATTTCAGATGTTTATTTTGTTTAATTTTGATGATTACAAATGACAACAAATGAAAATCTCAAATTCATCATATCAGAAAATTAGAATATTACTGAAGACCAATAAAAACAAAGGATTTATAGAAATGTTGGCCAACTGAAAAGTATGAACATGAAAAGTATGAGCTTGTACAGCACTCAGTATTTAGTTGGGCCTCCTTTGGCCTGTATTACTGCAGCAATGCGGCGTGGCATGGAGTCGATCAGTCTGTGGCACTGCTCAGGTGTTATGATAGCCCAGGTTGCTCTAATAGTGGCTTTTAGCTCTTCTGAATTGTTGGGTCTGGTGTATTGCATCTTCTTCTTCACAATACCCCATAGATTTTCTATGGGGTTAAGGTCAGGAGAGTTTGCTGGCCAATTAAGAAAAGGGATACCATGGTCCTTCAACCAGGTACTGGTAGCTTTGGCACTGTGTGCAGGTGCCAAGTCCTGTTGGAAAATGAAATCTGCATCTCCAAAAAGTTGGTCAGCTGCAGGAAGCATGAAGTGCTCTAAAACTTCCTGGTATGTGGCTGCGTTGACCCTGGACCTCAGAAAACACAATGGACCAACACCAGCAGATGACATGGCACCCCAAACCATCACTGACTGTGGAAACTTTACACTGGACTTCAAGCAACGTGGATGAAGTGCCTCTCTTCTTTTCCTCCAGACTCTGGGACCTTGATTTCCAAAGGAAATGCAAAATTTACTTTCATCAGAGAACATGACTTTGGACCACTCACCAGCAGTCCAGTCCTGTTTCTCTTTAGCCCAGGCAAGACGCTTCTGACGCTGTCTGTGGTTCAAGAGTGGCTTGACACAAGGAATGCGACAGCAGAAACCCATGTCTTTCATACGTCTGTGTGTGGTGGTTCTTGAAGCACTCACTCCAGCTGCAGTCCACTCTTTGTGAATCTCCCCCACATTTTTGAATGGGTTTTGTTTCACAATCCTCTCCAGGGTGCGGTTATCTCTCTTGCTTGTACACTTTTTTCGACCACATCTTTTCCTTCCCTTCGCCTCTCTATTAATGTGCTTGGACACTGAGCTCTGTGAACAGCCAGCCTCTTTAGCGATGACCTTTTGTGTCTTGCCCTCCTTGTACAAGGTGTCGATGGTCGTCTTTTGGACAACTGTCAAGTCAGCAGTCTTCCCCATGATTGTGTAGCCTATAGAACTAGACTGAAAGACCATTTAAAGGCTTTTGCAGGTGGTTTGAGTTAATTAGCTGATTAGAGTGTGGCACCAGGGGCCATCAATTTTGAACCTTTTCACAATATTCTAATTTTCTGATATGATGAATTTGAGATTTTCATTTGTTGTCATTTGTAATCATCAAAATTAAACAAAATAAACATCTGAAATATATGAGTTTGTATGTAATGTATGAATATAATATACAAGTTTCACTTTTTAAATGGAATTACTGAAATCAATCTACTTTTTCATGATATTCTAATTTTATGACCAGCACCTGTAAATAAGGGACACCTCTTGGCCAGGTATTGTGTTCCTCCTACTGGCATGGGTTATTTTTTTTTGCATTCTTTTTCTATAAAAATATTCTATAAACTTGAACCTGAATTTAAATCAGTAAATTCTGTTGCCCCACTTACACTACCCCTCTGAAACTGATCTGCACTATAAAAAATTAGCTAGAAATAAGTAAAAATGTCTTAAATTAAATGAATTGACCCTTAATTTAATAGGTAAATGAGATAGATTGCCAATGGAATGAGTATTTTTACTCTTAAAATAAGATGTTCCATTGGCAAAATGTCTCCTTTACCTCCTCCATCCAAGAACAAATGCACTTATTTTAAGAAAATATTAATTACGTAGATTTTGAATTTTTCCACTGTGAGCTTTGTTCCTTAAGACGATCTACGGTAATACTGCTGGGATCGAAGGAAAGAATCAAGCAAATCAAAGCGGTGGCTCCCATAACATTCAGGAAGTTATGTTTGGTTATAATTGTGATATTTGTTGTTTGTGGAGAGTCAGGTACAGCCTTTGAACACCTTGCTCTTTAAGTCATTTTATGTAGTGTTGAGAAGATTTTGAATGTTAGCAGTTCTACTGTTTTATGGTGGTTGGCAAGCAACTTACTGATGTGAACTACTGGAAGCTGAGCTATCTCTATAGTTATGCTGCTATAGGTTTAGACTGCTGGAGGACATAGGGACCCCCATTTCATCATTCTGCTTCATTCCGTCTCTATTCTACTATTCTGCAGAATCTGTTATTTCAATCTCTAACGTTCTGCTCTCTCTGCTTTTTCTCATAGTAGCTTTGCCTAATCTGTTCCTGTTTGGCTATGACGCCATCCTGGAGAGAAATATCAGTTGTGCTGCTTCCATCAACACCCTTGTTTATAGATGTTTGAGATCGGCCTGTTTTCCAGTGTAGTCCTGTTTCTCTGACCGTGACCAGCTGGATGTGCTCTCTTCATCCTCTGACATGGAAGCTGGCTCAGAGCTCGTCTGCCTGGCTGTGTTTCCTGGACAGTGCCGCCTTTTACAGCTGCTTTTTGTGTCTCTGCTTCTGTCTCCTTGAACCCCAGTCTGCCTCAGCAGATGGCCACTTACACTGAGTCTGGTTCTGCTGGAGGTTTCTTCCTGTTAAAAGGGAGTTTTTCCTCTCTACTGTCACTACAAGCATGCTTAGTGTGAGGTATTGAATTTGAGTCAATGCAATCAACTGGTTTTCCTTAGATATAAAACTTTGATCAATTTGACTGTATGATCTGGTTGAACTGTAAAGTGTTGAGATGAGGTGTTGTGAATTGGTGCTATAGAAATAAATTAAATTGAAAATTAACTGTAAATAGCAGAGGACTCGTCTGCTCATGTGCTCTTTGTTATCAGAGAACCGAGCCTCAACTGAACCACACTGAGCTCTACTGATGAACTAGTACCTGATTTAGTGCGGTTTGGTTGTGTCTGGCATGGTCCACTTCCCTTTACACTCAACAGTTATCTCGGTTACCGTGCTCTGACCGCTCTCGGCACAGTTTCAAAAAGATAGTGTAAATGTGGCTTATAGATTCTAATTATATGGGACAGTTTCTTTTTTCCAGGGACGGTTGGTAACACTAGATGCACTAGAGGCTCGTTTTCTTCCACATATTTTACTAATTTAACATGTTAAACTGTCGCAAAATCCTTATTTCCAACTTTTAAGGTGATTTTCTCAGTAAAATGAGAACATTTCAGTGCAATTTTCCTGAAATGATAAACCTTTTTTTAAATAATCAAAAAATACAAAGCAACAGAAAACAACATATAGTTGAGAAATTCAAAACAAACAAACAAATTTTGTTAATCAGTTTATGGCCTTTAACATGAGTTATCAGGATTTCAAGTCTTTTCAATAAAAAAAAGCACGATATTTACTCTGCCAAACTGTTACGATTTCTATTTTCCTATAACCTGGATTAATTCCATACTATATCAGACTGCTTAAGAAAAACTTTTTTATTATTAACTCAGCTGAAGGAGACTAAAATATTTTTTTAAACATTGCGATGGATAAAGTCAGTCAGAAATTAATACTTGTGCACAAGTATGAGTTCTTGATGCAGCAAAGATGTAATGAAGGAAATAAAACCTTTTATTTCCTAACATCTCATTCTCAGAGTCACTCTTGGTTTTGCAATAGATTTAGTAGGTTTTCCATGTCACCAAATGGCCGACTGGCGGCTATGAGGGTGCAGAACACTGAGCACGCTTCAGTCCATCTGCTGCTTAGCTTAGTAGCCTTCATTATCCCAGGTCACCTCATAGTCTGGGTATTGATCCTTCAGTTTCTCTGTGGTCACCGCATGGTTTGCTCTTCCAAATCCCTGTGAATCAAGTAATAAAATAACAGTAAATAAAAATCCTAAAAAGACGCTATGACAATTGGAAGATATATTCCAGGGTTTTCTTCTTACAATTGAGTAACCGTACACATGGATCTTCTTGGCACCTGGATCATGTTTTATCCTGCCTCCTCCGACACACTCGCAGTCCAGTATTCCACCTTTTTCCAGCTCCTCTGAAACCTTGTCGTAGATATCAGCTGTAATAAGTCAGAGAGTGAACTTTATCAGCAGTCACTTTTCATGTCTACAAATGCAACAAGTAGAAAACGGGGCGGATCATTTCAAATATTGTGTGCTAACTGAACAATATCACTGAAGGAGCAATGAGCAGAATCAATAACTTAGTGGGAATGTGCTGGCGTTTTAAAAATCCAGTTTAGTAGCTTTATTAAGCATGGTAAGAAATATTATGCTAGTAATGGTGTTCATAAAAAAATGACAACATATGTTTATATAATATTTCTATAGGGTCCAATGTAGTTTTGCTTCCAAGAAGTGATGTTATGAGATAAGCCGAGGCTTCGAGGCGTGTTTCGAGTAATGGAGGTGGCGTTTGCCCAAAGCGCGTGTAGAGGCGTGATTAATTTATAGAGGAGGGCCCAGAATTGATGATGTCCGAGGCCTCGCTACCGCGAAACCACGTGACCGCTTCGAGAAGAAGAACACAGGTTCTCACTCTAGAGGTTGGTGGTTCAAAATCTGCCTTTCGCTTTTAAAAGTTGCGATTAAACTTAATATTTTGGCAAATGAGACTAATTTGCATTGGTTTGCCCTAGAAAAAATATAGATTGGGTAAAAACGCTGCCAAATTAAGGTCGGTTTAGCCAAAAGATTGGTTGGACACAACTTCCGATTGAATAAAAATAAAAAATGTGGAAAAGCTATTATGTTTGAATAAAAATGACTAGCACCTTGCTCTTCATTGCCCAATTTGCACAAACACTTTTACTGTCTGCTTGAGTTTATTTCACAAAAATGGCAGAAAAACTGTGAACCTTTTATGATTGTTCTAAGAAATTTTACACAAAAAAAATTACAAAATATTTTATTATAAACACAAAATTTTAACAATTTCAAATTATCTTAAAAGGGGGGAAAAAGAGAAAAATGTTTGCAAAAAAATCACAGATTTTATTACTAACTGTAGTTCTGCTTTACACCAGTAGGTGGTGACATGTTCACATGGAGCCTCATGAACTGTGGGGATCGTTGAAGCAAATTGGCCAAACGGTTCAATGCCTCATGAGGCTTCATCTCAACATCACTACTTCCAAGGATTATAATATACACTATATTGCCAAAAGTATTTGCTCACCCATCAAAATTATTGGAATCAGGTGTTCCAATCACTTCCATGGCCACAGGTGTATAAATTCAAGCACCTAGGCATGCAGACTGTTTTTACAAACATTTGTGAAAGAATGGGTCGCTCTCAGGAGCTCAGTGAATTCCAGCGTGGAACTGTGATAGGATGCCACCTGTGCAACAAATCCAGTCGTGAAATTTCCTCGCTCCTAAATATTCCACAGTCAACTGTCAGCTGTATTATAAGAAAATGGAAGTGTTTGGGAACGACAGCAACTCAGCCACGAAGTGGTAGGCCACGTAAACTGACGGAGCGGGGTCAGCGGATGCTGACGCGCATAGTGCGAAGAGGTCGCCAACTTTCTGCAGAGTCAATCACTACAGACCTCCAAACTTCATGTGGCCTTCAGATTAGCTCAAGAACAGTGCGCAGAGAGCTTCATGGAATGGGTTTCCATGGTCGAGCAGCTGCATCCAAGCCATACATCACCAAGTGCAATGCAAAGCGTCGGATGCGGTGGTGTAAAGCACGCCGCCACTGGACTCTAGAGCAGTGGAGACGCGTTCTCTGGAGTGACGAATCGCGCTTCTCCATCTGGCAATCTGATGGACGGGTCTGGGTTTGGCGGTTGCCAGGAGAACGGTACTTGTCTGACTGCATTGTGCCAAGTGTAAAGTTTGGTGGAGGGGGGATTATGGTGTGAGGTTGTTTTTCAGGAGCTGGGCTTGGCCCCTTAGTTCCAGTGAAAGGAACTCTGAATGCTTCAGCATACCAAGACATTTTGGACAATTCCATGCTCCCAACTTTGTGGGAACAGTTTGGAGCTGGCCCCTTCCTCTTCCAACATGACTGTGCACCAGTGCACAAAGCAAGGTCCATAAAGACATGGATGACAGAGTCTGGTGTGGATGAACTTGACTGGCCTGCACAGAGTCCTGACCTCAACCCGATAGAACACCTTTGGGATGAATTAGAGCGGAGACTGAGAGCCAGGCCTTCTCGTCCAACATCAGTGTGCGACCTCACAAATGCGCTTCTGGAAGAATGGTCAAAAATTCCCATAAACACACTCCTAAACCTTGTGGACAGCCTTCCCAGAAGAGTTGAAGCTGTTCTAGCTGCAAAGGGTGGACCGACGTCATATTGAACCCTATGGATTAGGAACGGGATGTCACTTAAGCTCATATGTGAGTCAAGGCAGGTGAGCAAATACTTTTGGCAATATAGTGTATGTAGGGCGTGATTCATTTAGATGATGTCTGAAGCCTCTCTACTATGATACCACGTGACCGCTTCAGGAAGTGGTTCAAACCGTGCGAGAACTTCGACAGGTTGTAAAAAAGAAAGATTTTGTTCTTTTCAAGGAAAACCGAAAAAATCGAAATAATAGCGAAAGCTGCAGAAAAGTATCTGGAAGTCAGGGATTTAAAGTGGGAAATGGTTGAAAGCATGATGGAAAAAAGAGTAGGACCATCAGAAACTGGCAGAGTGACGATAACTTAAAGATAAATTAGAAATTATGATGATGAATGTGATTAAGTATTATGTTGGGTTAAGTTAAAGAGATCTGAAAAATATTAATTTTTCATTCTTTTTTTTTTTCTTGGGGTGAGTCTTGTTTGCTTGTTTAACTCCTTTAAAGTTGTTGGTGGTAATGCACTTTACCTAGTTTGCCAACCACCATAAAACCTCACAAGAAAGCATCTAAATAGCCTCAGTATTCAATCCAGATGTGGTGGTTTGTAGGAACTGCTGTCAGTTGAATAGAGTTAGGACATATTCTAAAAATAGATTGGTTCTACTTGGTTAAAACTATTTTGGTCAGATTAAACAATGTAATGATCAAAATCTGTGCAAGCCACCAGTCACAGTTGTAACATTAATGTTAATTAGATTTGTTTTCTGATGAGCAGTTACCATTGCTGGTGTCAGCTGTAAGACATGGATTTCCACTGCTAAGGTGGTTAGACTTTTGAAAGATGCGATAACACTTAACAAGTATTTTGTCTTATGTGACTAATTTGTATTGGTTTGCCTTAATACAAATATATATTAGATTAAAAACACTGCCCAATTAGATTGGTTGGTTTAGCCAAAAGATTGGTTGAACACAAAACTTCCAACCTGATTAAAACAAAAAATTGTAAAAACTATTATGTTTGAATAAAAATGACTAATACAATTTTGCTCATCATTGCTCAATTTGCAGAAACATTTTCTCTGTCTGCTTGAGGTGATTTCACTAAAATGGCAGAAAAGCGGTGCATCTTACATGATTTTTTTCTTCTAAGACATTTTACACTAAAAACAAAACGTATAAAAGACTTTGTTATACACACCAATCATTAATAGTTTTAACGGAAATGGAAGAAAAAAAAGCAAAAAAAAAAAAAAAAAACAATTAGTAAAAAAAAAAATAATAATAAAATTACTAACTGTAGTTCTTCACTCTACCAGTAGGTGGTGACATGTTCACATGGAGCCTCATGAACTGTGGGAATCGTTGAAGCAATTTGGCCAAACGGTTCAATGCCTAATGAGGATTTATCTCACTATTATTAATAAAATATCCATGTGCCAATAAAAAGTATTTACAAAAATTCAGGTGGAGCACAACATAAAGCCCTAGCAGTGCCTCCTGTTTTAGGAGTTTCAATGACTCACCGTGATACTCAGCCCAGGCGTATCCTCGGACTATATCTATCTCCGCGTCGTCTCCCTCCTCTCGGCTATGAACCCGGATCAGCACATATTTAAAAACCCCAGAGGGATCGATGTCTACCCGTGGAATGTTGGCCATGAGAGCCGCCGCTTTGGTCTGGGAGCACATCTCAAAACTCTTTAGCAAACCGAGCAACAAAGCGAGCAGCAGACCGAAAGCTCGGAACTTCTCATCAATCTCCAGCTCCTCTAAAAAAAAATTCTCCAGCAGGCTGGTGTGATTTTAATTTTAGTTGGACAGTTAAAAGTTAAAAATTACGACAATTACAGCTGTATCTCTTTTCAAGCCTGTACCGCCGCCGCCATGATGCTGTAGCGACAACACTTGCTTTTCCGGTTTCAAATTTCAAAGTTAAATAATGTTGAAAACTGTAAGTGTGAAGGGAGTGATTGAAATTGCACATTCACACTGTTATCAATCTATTACATTTAAAAATGACAATAGATTTAATTTTTTTAAGTCAAAGCAAATTGAATAAAATTGTTTAGTCTTATTCAGCTTTTATTCTGAAGTCTGTACGTCCGGTGCCCTACACCAGCGTTGGTTTTCGTCAGCCAGAAACAATGCGTCAAAATGTTCGCCATATTGTAAGTGGCATTCTCGCCAGGAAAGCAGTACATTCTGCAAAAGACTGCAAATTATTTTAACTATGTGTCAATTATTTAAAATGAATTTATAAATTGGCCTGGTTGTTATAGCGTTTTCTTGTTTTGATAAACACTGTGTTGATTGTTTTGATATAACGGTATTTTTATTTTTCCGTGAAATGTTTTTTTTTTTTTTTTTTTACCTCACAGGGTGCTGTACCAATTCAAGATAGTTCATACCTTTATATGCAAAAACAAAATCGTTCCCCCAGTGAAGGCAGTGAGGAATGTTTGTTTACTTCTTTAAATAAAATACATATATTCATTTAAGGCCCAAATAATGTTATAGTTACTACATAAATTCTGTATTTATTTCCAGTTTTAATACATTAATGGCAAATCTAAATAATTGTTTATTAAATTGTTTATGTGTTGTACTGGGGCACTTGTCACCCTCCATAGAGATAGAGGACCCCAAAACCAAATATCCCTTGAGGCCTCAAGGAGAATTGTGCCACCCCTGGTTCAGGGTTAAAGCGTAGGCTACATTCATGATTCAAAATAATTAAACACCAACAAACATTTATGTGATCTATTTGCAGACTTATAACATTTCACGTACTCCAGTCATGATCTGAGACTATAAAAAGGAAAAGACAGGTATGGTAAATGTTTACATTTTATTCAACACAAATTCTGCCATAGTTTTGGTTAAAATTACCTAATTAATCCAAACATTAATATGTTGAATTGTGCTTAGTTTACAAGATACAGATCAGTGTGCAAGTATCACATTAGCTCTAGAGATTCACCAATCAGCTTCTTTTATTGGCCAATAGGGATTTTGCTGTCCTTACAGTGGAGTTTCTCATGACACAAACAAATTCATCCAGTTTATTTTGATTAACAACTCAATGTTTTCTGACAAGTTTTACAATATTCTCTTTATTAATGCATCAAAGCATACATGCTTAAAATTGTTCAGTACCGGAAAGGAGCTCAAGTTTAGTGATTAATTAACAGACCTAAAGAAAGTGAAAGATTGTTTCAGGTTTGTTAAATTTAAGAAACTTTGACCTGCTAATCAAATACTTGCTGTCACTTTGTAATTGACAGATGGACCCTTATTTATATTTGTGTAAAACACCAAATAGCACACAAAATTTAATACATCCATCAAAACCTTTAGACAAAAAAAACAAACAAACAAAAAAACAACAAAAAAACATAACATTATGTTTGTTTGTTTTTAAATGACTTGAACAAAGGAATTAAATATCTCCCACACATTGGATAAATTAGCAACTTTATCAAAGAAAGAATTTGTGGTACCGTTTTTCTGGGTGTAAAGTGTAGAAACAAGCCTCAGAATTTTTCTGTTCTGCTGGAGTCCATCACTGATTCAATTAAACGCCTTCATTCAGTAACAGCTTCTACTCTAAAGAATGCTGCAGCAATCGCAACCTGGAGTTATTTCAAAATGTTGTTCCCACCAATTATAAAAAAAAAAAATTAGATTTCTGATTTTGGAACTGGTTATTGCTAGCCTGAAATGTACATGTTTTAATGTGTTTACCTTGAAATCATGCCCAATTAATGCATTCTTTAAGTTTTTTTTACATACTTGACCAATAAAGTTAAAATTAAAAGTTTATGTTGATATTGAAGCTATAAATTGCTGACATTATATATTTTAAAGAGTCATTTGCTATATTGATATCGTTGGAGTTATATTTTCGCAATGTATTGTACAAATCTATGTTTTATCCTATTTTGCAATAACTGTAACACATTTATTTCACCACTCGCTATGTGTAGCTTAATTTCCTATTTAGTTTTGTCTGTTTTTGTCTGCAAATTTTCATTGAGGAACTCATTTGTGTGTCTGATTCATATCACAAGATTTTTCACACGTTAATTCTTTGTGTCAAAGAAGTCACTCTTGCTCTTACTTCTCAGCTTTATACCTCATCTCTCCAGCTTCTTATTTGTACAGCAAACATTTTAGCACATCACTATTCTCTTAGTTGTCTTTTCCATTGAATTTATACAAACAACAACAGAAAAAAACTTTGAGTTCTCTATTACTGCATGCTAGTTTATTATATGGAGGCCAACTGGTCCAGATATTGTGCAAATACATTATTTCAAGCTTCACAGCAAAGTCAAGCAGTCTTGTAAACACAAAAATGAGACTAGCAAACACAAAACTGCACTAACTAATAAAATGCATATGTTGGCAACAGTCAAACAAATTGAGTCGCCGAGCGGCTGATTAGAGGAATCCTTGTCGCTATTCGAAAGTTCAGGCCAAGATGCAGTTTACATTTCCTTTTAATATATTTATATATTGTTTTTGTAACTGTTTACATTTCCTTTTCCTTTTAATATATTTATATATTTTTTATATATTTTTTATTTTTATTTCACGGTAGCTGTTATGGAAGTCCCAAATCTCATTGTATCTGTCGCAGAATATAATGACAATAAAGGCTTTTTGACTTTGACTTTGAGTTCAGATCCTTTTGTTTTATTGATCTTCAAAACATGCAGTGCAGCATACAAAAAAAAACAAAAAACGAATCCACAGGTTCGAGCTGTGATCAAGGGTAAAGGAGAAGAAAAAAAAAATCCAAAGCTTAAAGCGGTCAGCATAAAGTAGACATCCCCCATCACCCACTCACTCACTGAAACTCACCAGGTGAGCAAAACGGGTGATCTTACGAATCACTGCTGACACCACAAGATCAAAACTATGCCTATCCACTGCAGCATACAAGTGAAAAAATGCTGTAAAGGAGAAAAGCTGGAATCGCAGAAAACAGCGCAGCAAAGTGGAAAAATGCTGCAAACACAAAACCAGCTACAAATACACAAATGATGCTAAGGTATAAAGCATGTGCAAAGGAAAAATGCTGCATGAAGCAAAACATCTGCAAGATAAAAAAGCACTTAATGACAGTTTTGCCTTAACAATATCCTCTTACATATAAGTCCCCGGGGTGGTGATCTAGGTCTTTATTAGATGATTAAAAGGTCTGTCATCTCACCCTGTCTATGGCCGAAAACCACAGTGGCACCTTTCTGTGCAAGCAACCTGGGAGTGGTTTAGTGGCTCTGCTTGTGTTCTCAGGGTTAAGCAAACAGTTTTGCACGCAGAAGACCACTGGCATGACCACACACCTCTCACTATGGCAAGCCTTTTTCACATGAATTCGGTTTCGTCTGACCATCCACCATTACGTTCCAGATATCTTAAAATACATTTTGACTAGACAAAACCACATTCTGACTATCCAGAATGTTAATTTAAGATATCCGTATTTACATTCTGATTAGGAATAATAATAATATAAGATATCTTAAATTACAATTACAATTCCTTTCAAGATTCTCAAATTTCGACACCGGATTTGTCATTTAAAACGTCACACGCTGATTTAACTTTTCCTCCTTTGGATTAAACCGACAGTAAGGAATTTTTTTAGGAATAATCCTCCTGGAAGCCCATTAAAAAGATCATTACACATTTTGACTAGTCCGAATGTCAATTTAAGATATCTTTAATGGAAAAGCTAAATAATTCAAGATATCTTAAATTCACTTCGAGATATCTTAAAAGGAATTTCGAATAGTCAAAATTACAATTCAAGATATCTTTAAATTTGTTTTGTCTAGTCATCATTTGATTTTAAGATATCTATCATTTAGTTTTAACTAGTCAAAACTGCATATCTCCTATCCTAGAATACATTTAATATATCTTGAATTATGTTGGCATTTGAGATATCTTTAATTAGAATTATAACTAGCCAAAACTAAAATTGAGATATCTTGAAATTACTTTATGACTAGTCGTAATTTAATCGTGGATATCTGAAATGTGTATTTCAGATAGTCAGTAATTCCTTCTAGATATATTAAATTGTCGTCTCCATACAAGTTAATAGTAAATCTGACGTAATTTCGACTAGTCAGAATGTAATTAGCGGTATCTTAAATCGCTAAAACGTCTAGTCATAAAACAATTTGAGATATCTTGAATGTAAAGGTGTTATAGCCGAAAGTATGTTAAAATGGCTTGCCACACCCTCACTGTGTTTGTCACAGGTGACCATAGAAGACAGGGCATAATAACAGTCAAAATGAGCAAGAAATGTACCTCATAGTGAAACCTCAAACAAAATCAGGGACTCAAAACTGATGCAGACATGACCAGGTTGTTATTGGACTTGTAAGTACCGTAGTAATTGATTTCTAGGGTGCCAATATAAAACAAAGAGACGCTAAATCATCTATGATAGCAAACACAAACTGTTTACTCTATAGCCAGACGTACCTCTAACTGACTTGTGTATAAGTAACAATTTGCTGCATATAAGATACTAGAGCGAGCAAAAAAGGACTCAGTCCTGCTCTAAGAAAGGCATAACCTGGATTCTAGGGATGATGTGTTAAAAAAGCATTCAAAGGAAAACTTCCATTTTCTTTATGGACTACATCCCATTTATATTTTTGCAAAAGAGCTTGTCTGTATACAATAATTTGCAGGAATAATAAGATCTGGATATTAGTTGATGACCTTCTCCCTCTACTGGCCTGGAGCACTTCTGTAATGCTGCATTCACAGCTTTTCTTACCTTAACCTGCACTTGCTTTTTCTACTTCCAGCTTTTTTGTTTTGCGTGTATTTTATGTTACCATCATAAATGTATTTGCAGGAGGTTTTGTGTTTGCAG